TTGAAACAGCTATGGAAAATCAACATATTTCAACAACTGCGAATCAGTTCTGATTTTCCTCCCTTTTCGTGCCAGCTGCCACTATAGTCTCCAAAGTTTTGCCTGATTTTTTTGCAGCAAAACATGCGCAAAATCTGAGCCAAGTGCGGCCAATTCAACTCACTCTTCAAAGGATCAAGCAGCAAATCCACCTGAATGGAATCTGAGCTAAGCAGCTAATGTGTTTTGGTACCCCCCAAAAAATGGAGAAATTCACTGAGAAACGGGATAATGGATACAGTAATGGAGATCTAGCCATGAAAAAATTGGGGCTGAAAACAGAGTTGTACCATGTTGTACCCCAAATTTGATGTTTTATCAATGTTTATCATCATTTCCACTACTATCTCCCCGTTGGTCCTACCCGGGAGGGTCCAGTCAAGGAAAATCATCTGATTACTTTGATGGGTATCAACCTTTTCAAAATTAACATCCATGGGCCTTGACTTCCGCGCATGGAGCAACTTGAAACAACTTTACCCCGCCTCTTGCTCTATGGCCAAAACTATTGTCCTGTTCCCTGACATTTGGCTAACACCGCCCCCCTTCTACTGTTCAAGATTGAAATCCTGTGCCACAACCTAGTGCAGAAATCTCATCTTTGTTATTTCAAAATTAAACATACCATCTGGAAAACATATTTCTATTTTAGTATCGCTATTCTTTTTACCCTGACCCCCGAGGAATACCAAAGTTGGATGCTCATCCCCCTATTCAAAATTATGTTGGTGGTTTGCAACCTTCGCAAAACTTGTAGTCTCAACGTTCCCCCCCTTCAAAATTGATTTGGTGTCCCTCAACCTTTTTACAACATCCATTAAATTACAATGGTGTGTATCAACCTTTTGTTGATTTCCATTTTCACCCCTCCGCCAAAATCACCCCAAAACTATTTTTCTGGGACCTGACAGTTTGCAGAATTTCAAGATAGATTCATAATAGCGCTGATTCTCCTGTCCTATGACATAGTCTCATTAGCCCCCATCTTCCCATTTCAAAATTAAAATTGTCGTCCTGACCTTTGCAACATAGGGGAGTGCTAGGAAAAACCATTTATAAAATCAATGATTTTGGGACTGGACTCCCAGGAAGAAAGATGGCGGTACCAAGGGGGATACATGGGGATACTACATACAATTAAAAATAGCCTTACAGTAAATAGCCATTTGGTATATTTGGTGGATACATCTCCAATTTTCAGACCCAAGTCGTATCAAAGTTGGTCTACCAGGTGATACCAGGTGCGGCATGGGCGCCTCGTCTAGTAACATGACGCCCGAGTGAAAGAGTCCCAGAACGGCTCCACAAATCCCTTGGACAACGGGACATTTGTTGGAAAAGAGGTGGTGGGGGGATTGATATACGATGGATATAGATATTTATGTATTTGTATTTGTTTAATATAATAACATATATATATATAATGAATATATACGTATAGAGATATATATATATATGGATATATGAAATGGATATCACATGGATATGTGATGAATGATGAATTAGTGAATATATGACGACTGTATGATGAATATATGCTGAACATGTGATGAATACATCATGAATATATCATGAATATATTATATATTTTGGGCTGGGTTGATATCCGCGTATCCAACACTGCAAACAAATCCTCAGAACCTGACGAAGCAAAGCCGATATACTTCACTCATCTTCGCTCATGTGTTAAGATCTGGACGCACTTCTTCCACTTTGGCCTCGTCTTGCGCCTGCAGCGATTGAAAATCTGTAGCTTCTGCAACTCGTGAAAACTGAAGCTGGCACATCTAATGGAGGATTTATTTGGAGGTATGACAATGCATCTTTCAAGCTGCAGAATTTAGGCGTTTTCCCTTTCAATATCTTTCAATCTTCAGTATCCCCATGGTCAGAGAAACCTGAAAATCATCTCTCTGGTCATTTCTGGTCACTTCTGGTCACATCGTAAATATACATCCCATTTTTCGACGCACGTGGCCATCGGATCATCACAACTCACAGCTCAGCTGACCTGCAGGGGTTTCTCGGTGGTTCCGCTCTTGTGACTCATCTGGCCTTCATCATCTGAAGCCTCCCATGGGATTTCACCCCGAAAAAGCACCGAAAATATGGATTCAAGCATCGAAAGCAAGGATTTCACCATTGAAAATAGGGATTTCACCATTGAAAATAGGGATTTCATATAATTTAACAGCAACAATACTATTATTTTTTTCCATGGGATGTTGACTGGGCCGGTTTTATAATATATGCTTATAGATATTTTTCACCAGACATTTTCTGTAGCCAGTGCATCCATGCCCGTCCTAGCCTTTCTGGAAAGTATGAAACCTCCTTGGAGGATCCCACGACTAGTAACTGGTTACATGTTTTTTTCTACCTGTTAATACCAAAGTGGTTATCAACCATATACAATAATGATAAACTATGATAAGTATGATAACTATATTATCCCATGATTATCAAATTATCCCATCTATATGGTATTAACAATATCAATCCGGCTATATATGGGATAATCGCATCTAGTCCAAGACTCTTCGCACCGAGGAGCATTGGATAACCAGGACGGAAAGCGCAGCCAGGACCCCTGCGGCGCGTGGATCTTCTCGCCAAAGGCACAGAATTGGAGAGATCCATGGTTTTCACGGAGCTTTTCTTCAGGACTTGTAACTTATTGTACCATGTTAAATGTTATACCTTGATGTACCTTGATGTACCTTGATGTATATATCAGGATTTATCTGGGACTTCTATATTTTTCCTATCTTTTGTAAATCGAATTATATTGGGTTTGCATGGGTTTGCAAGGTCTTGCCCGAACGTGGCTCTCATTTTTCAGTCCGCACTACCCGCACCCTGGACCCGGTCGCGAACCGCTGGTGAAAGCACATCCTTCCTCTGGTTGACATAATGGGTCATTCCGAGTTCAATGATCAATGAGGAAAATTCATGAAAATTCAGGCTCTTGCAAACAACCAACGCAGGAAAACGATCACAAAAGCATTCAAAAGCTTACTTACAGTACTATCTTCTTCCAACAGGCACTGCTATTGCCCACTGTACAAACAAATCAAAAAAATACTCAAAAAAAAACATAAAAAAAACTCAAGAATCTGAGCTCCCCCCTGAGACTTGCCTTCTGTTGCTCCGTCTCGCTGCGTGCCCTGTGCAATTTCCGCTGTTGGTGGAGCCTCAGGAGCTGCATCCTTCAGCGGCCTCCTCAAATATCAGTCATAGTCATCCCATGAAATATCCCCATCAAATATCCCCACCATTTTTTTTGCCGGGGCTTCTCAGAGGGTTTGCCCCAACAGCCAGCCCAGCACGTTCGCTCTGGGCAATAGCTGCAAAGGTTGCATGATGTTAAAATGGTTGTCTATATCCCCACCATAGCAACCCAAAAAAACAATAGAAACGTGGAAAAATGTATGAACATGTCTGGAACATCACCCTGAGGAACACAACTTGCGGCATCTTTCTTGGGGGTCTGCTATCATTGAATCCTCCTATTTTTGGACAAGCCTAACGGGTTAACCCGGGCCCCGACTCCAAAAGAAGCTCCACCCTGCGCAAGAGTATGCTCTTCACCTGGGACCATGGGGTATGTCTAGTGGATATCTGAGATCTGCATACCCTCCGATGTCATCAAAGCCGGCCCTGGCTGGAAAATCCCCCCGCAGTTGATGATTTCCCATTGCCACGTTTGATGACACCGGAGGGCATGTGTGTATGTGTAATATCTGTGTGTATGTCTTTCATTGATTTTTCTTTCCGGTGCTTTATATAGTTGGCCATCTTTATTTATCATTTAATATCATGTATTGATCAGTTAATTTTATCCACATTCTACAGTACCTGGAAAGCCTAGTACCCATTGTTTTGGGCACTTTCCAAAGTGCCTTTTTTGTGTGTGAGAATTGCAAAGTGCCGCAAGAATGGGCTACTAGGCCAAAGTAGGCTGAAACAATAGGCAACTACACGGCTTTCCAGGTATCTATTGCCTTTTTGATCTGCTGAAACTCCTTGGGACATCGCTGATGCTGATATATGACCCCAGTCAGTGCACCGATGCCCGCTCCCGAAGAGGGTACCCTACATTATCCTACCATCTTCATCGTGCTGTTCAGCTTGATTCGTTCATTTATCAACAACCTGATGTTTTTAGATAAAGGAATGTGGTAGAATCGTCCTAAAATAGCCGCACATTTGACCGTGTCTATATTTCTGGTGGTTCAATTTGCAGGATCTGTCCATCCAAATCATCAGCAGCCGGGACCCTTCGAGGTTGGCTATCATCCCAACATCCAGGCGCCCGCGGCAGAGGTCGGTGCTGCAATCACTGCGGCCTGGTGCCCACCGTATCACGTATGCCCGGCATGCCCCCTCGAGTCATACACAGAACTATGCGCCCAAAACCACCATTTTTCCATCCAAAAGATTCCAAAAGCGAGCCCCTTTTTTATCAGAACAATATCTACACGTCATCCATGGCCCACCCCCAATGCCTTGCCACGGCGTGCTGCTTCCAGCTTGCACAGGAGGGCCTTGCTGGCCGGCACCTGGGCTTTGATGTTTTGATCAAGCTGCCATCCGATCCCATCTCGCAAGTTGATCATGGCTGATCCATCTGATCCATCCCAACTTCACCATCCAGTATCCACATTCCATGGCATTCTGCCCAGGGCCCAACCTGACGGTGAAATTCCAGGGTCAACACCGGCCTGGAATCGTGGGACGAATCTATGGAAATCTGTGGGAATCTGAGAATCCCATTTGCAGACACCCGCCTAGGAAGCACCGGGGACGAGAAGCGCTCTGCCAACACTGCGCGGGACCTCGATGCTGGGGAACCAAGCGCTCTGAAAGTGGTGGATTTGCGCCCATAACTTATGGTTGTTGTCATAGGGAAAATGATGATAGGTGTTTCCAACCTGCTTCCGTTCACAGCGGGGCTTCGTTCAGTTGATCTTAGCGTAGTTCCAGGACGTCTGCGAGGAAAAATTATGGTAAACCATGGGTTTCTGGCTTTCCTCCAATATTTTCAGACAAACCCACCGGATGAAGTTTTGGTGCTGGTTGGACTGTTTGTAGCAAGCCATCACTTTGGAACTGGAAAAGTGCCGCATCAAAGCCACCAAACAGCATAGCATAGCGGCATAGCGACCCAAAAAAACACTCGTCGAGGTCAGGCGCTGCCAGTACTGGGCCCCAAGCATGTCAAGCAATGCTGATGGCATGCAGGAGCATATCAACCTGCGACGAAGCGCAAACCCCTGCAGCTAGACATGTTGGGATGTCTGGGATCTGCTCCTACCTGCCTCTTCGCAAACGACACTTCCGAAGCTACGACCTGTACCTGCCTAAGATATGTAAACCGGAAATAGTTCAGTAAAACCGTACCACAACAGCATAGTTGCAGCAGCATCGCCAACAAGAAATGCGGAGCAACTGGACGTGACCCTACCTGTTGGTGTCTGCAAGTAGAAGCACCAAAAGAGGTGCAATCACCGTGGTCTTCCCCTCTCCCATGAGCATCTGCTGACACCTCGGTGATCCATTCTCTCTCTCTCTCTCTCTCATTTTTTTCCACACCACAACCCAGGATGCAAAAGTTGCAACGGGAAGAACAGTAGTTGTTCCAAAAGATCTGCCAATACATCAAAAATTGATTCAAATATATCCTAAATATTTACTAGATGTCTAAGAATGGCATGCTACTCGCATGAGAAACATGAATTCAATTACAGGGCGTGGTTCAGAATTCCAACAACCTCCACAAACGAAAATGGCTGGTTCCGGAAGAATTCCATGATCTTGTGGTCCTTTTCCTCCTGCATCAAGATACACCCCCGCCCATTGGCGTTTGATCGTTTCTCTATGTTTCACTTGCAGCAGGCACTCAGCCTCCCCACACAGATGTGCCTGCCTCCAACACCGTAGTGGGGAAACGGGGGTGGTCTTTCATACCAACCGACCTATTATATGAGCGGATGATTTAGGCCAGCTTTGGCTGAAAAGTGGTGAAGGGGTAAACAAGGAAACGCCACAAGAACCACCGGTCATAACGGCACATAGCTTCAAACACTCTGAGTGATACTGGAAGATGAAAAGGATACCGCGCTGAAAGACAGGATCAACTATATAATCAACTGTCAAACCACCCCTGCCTGTGCACTCGCCATGAAAGCGTGAATCAATTCAACCTGGCCAAGTGAACCAACAGCAATCCCCCAAAGTGAATCCAACAACAAGGGCATATTGCAGTAAGGGTTTATGAAGAGTTCATGAAGGTTTACGAACCACCACTAATAGTGGCTCATTAAACATCTATCATTGAATCAGTGCGGCTAAGTGCCAATCTGAGTGTCAGTTGGCTTGGCAAATGACGATGCTGCTGGACTCTGCAGAATTTGAAGATCCAAATGCTATCAAAATGGTTGTGCGCTGAGTTTGGATCCTGAACCGGCAAACGCAGTTTTTTTCTCGTCAACAAAACCAGGAAACTTCTTACCATTGGCTTCAAAGTGACCTTTTTTGGGGTATACCGTACCTAATTACCTAATCATCCAGATTTCATTCACCTCCGATTCGGGGTATTGCGCCTGAGATTTGCGCAGCATGATGTTGCAGAGGAACTCGAAGACCAAGAGTCGTGGGTCAAAGACGACGTCTCGGCCTCCACAGAAATGCAGTGGATAGATGTGGATAGTGGATCTGGATCTGCATTTTACTTTGCACCTGACCAGCCTGACACCCCACAGGAATTTTAACCCAAATCAATCTAGCTTTCCATCTATCCATCTTTGTGAAAAGTATGGTGCCCAAAACTGGTTATTTAACATAGCCATGGAAAATCAACATTTTTAATAGGTAAACCATCTATTTCTATGGGCCATCTATACCATGGCAATGTTAGTCATAACCAGAGGCTATTTTTCAAAACATGGTGCCGCAAAATCCTGATTTTTGGTTTATCATCATGATCTCTAATAAACCATGATTAATGATTATAATTTATGATTATAATTAATGATCATAATAATTATATAATGATCCTGATTTTTGATTTTGATTAATGATTATAATGATTATGGTTTGGTGCCTGATTATTTTCTTTGTCTTATCATGGTTTATCGAATCATCACTATCAAATGAGCCAGAGCCTGACTGGGAAACGAGGTGTCTTTCCTCACCTGGCGGTGGATCAAAAGCCTGGGAAGAAAATGGCTGGTAGACACATAGCTGTATCAATGGATTGGTTTAAGGGAAAATCTTAACCGGAAACCATAGATTTTCCCATTAAATATGGTGCTTTCCCGTAAATTTTCCCTTAAACCAATCCATTGAAATATAATTAAGTCTCAATCTTGGAACATTTGTGAGCAAACAATCCCAAACGACCCTAGCTGCACTGCCATCCCTGGCCTAGCTGCACTGCCACCTCAGCATCGAACCATTGGACCGCAACTGCTTGGTGGTTTCGAGCTGCACCAAAGCGCAAAACATGAATAAATATGATATATACATGTATATATATATATACATATAATGATATATTATATATAGAGTGTTATGTTATATATATATACAGTGTTATGTTCTGGGTGGCTGGCTGGTGGTTTCAATCACCCGGTCAGACAGATATAATCAGGAGACTCTCAGGAACTGAGCGGCTTGGACAATGCGCTGTGCAGTGCGGGTCTCACCACCTAGATACAGTGGTTTATGCACGTGCAAGATGATTATAATACGTGCATCTATCATCATCTATCATCATCTATCATCATCATATGTATATATATATAACTATATATATAATTATATATATATATATCTGTGTGTGTGCGCAAAAATATACGCATTAATTGTATATATATGTGTGTGTGTACATATGATATACAATATACATATGTTGTTACTCATGACCGGAGCTTCAAAGCAGCTCTGAGCAGTCGACACAGCTATGACACAGTCAGTTGACACACATTTGGGGCCACCGGCCGCACGGGCTTGCAAGGAAGCTGCCAGCTCCCCATTGGGCTTCCGCTTCTCCTGGCGATCCAAATTTCTGGGAAAATTCCCCATCAATGGAGGTTGATTTCCGAATTGCCAGGAGTACCAAAGGGAAACCTGTCGCGGCACCTCGAATGAACGCGGATATGGGACGCTATATTGACTTCGTGTAAAAGAATGGTGAAGTCTATGTAAACCGTCCTGTTTGGACATTATGTACTAGAAGCATGTGTATGCATCGAGCAATGAAAGCGTCCAAAAAAACTGCTTCACATGAGTACCCATTCGCACGCTTCAACAACTGGATGGCTTGTAGCAATGTAGCAACAAGACTTGGCGCTATAAAGTTTTATAATATAGGTACCATCTGGTTATTTAACATAGCCATGGAAAGATCCACCATTTTTTAGCTAGGTAAACCATCTATTTCTATGGGCCATGGCTTCCTGGATGTTCAGCTCCTCAAAGAGCTGTTCCAAAGATTGCTGTGCTCGTGCGACCTGTCCCACACGCACTGTGTAGAGCCTGCTTGGAGCAACTCACTTGCGGAAAGTCATGCTGGGTAAAAAAAAATGGGGATGGGTCAAAGCCTGGTACCCCGGAGAACATCAAAATAGCTGGGATTTATGGATGTTCATCCCCCTAAAGATGCTATTTAAAGGTATTGATCCATAGCCATATCTGATTGACAAGTTGCTGTGGCCAATGGTTCATGGCATCTGGCTGAATTAGAATAAGTCACTATGTAACCTGAAAATAGCTGAAATATGCTGATAAAAGGCCATTTGCGGATGATTCCCTTACTAATCATCATTCCAGTGACGTCACAGTGAGGTCATTATAATTCATCCCAGTCCCAATGGTATTGCCACAATAGCACAAACATGCACAATATAAAACTACCGTGCCATACAGAGGGAGGGGAGGAATTGATTCGGAATGATTTAACGATCCATCCTTGCTAGCAATGTGCATATCATCTTTGAGAAATCGTATATCATATGGCCAATCGTATCTAGATAATTACCTTGCAACAACAACCAAAAAACCTGCAGCTTCATCTGATTTCTCTGTACTTGGCGATGGCTCCCCTCATGCCCTGCTGCTCGTTGATCCAAGAGGCAGCACCCCAGCGACAGACTCCCAAAGCCTGAGAGGCGACAAACTGGGCCACAATGGATCCTGATCCATGTGTACCACACACATTCGTACATATATATATATATAGTTTATCAATGTTTATCATATATCTATAAGATTTATATATATAGTATATTTACATATATATATACAATATATATATAATGTATATATTATGTATAAATATTTATATTATTATATATATATATATTATATATATATTGATACCCTTCAGCCTGCTGCCTCCTGCCCATCTGTGTTTCCAACTTGGCCATCTCCTTCTCCCCCAAGGACCTGGGCGGATTTTACGCGGAACGCGGAACTGGGGCCGTGCTTTGCGATTGAAAATGGCCATGGATGGTTGATTTATCCATGGAAAATCATGGAAAAATGCTGATGTTCAATAGCCATGTTAAACTACCAGAGGTTTTTTTTTTAACATCATTGATCTTCATTGTAGATAAGTCGAGAATCAGTCGATCTGATTGTAGGATATTGGTGTGGTAAACCCAAGAAGAAACCTCCAACAGTTGGGGATGGTTTTTCGATTTCCGATCTTCTTGGGACCACAGCCAGCACAGCCAGCACCGAATCGGCTCAACGCCAACGCACGTGCGCTCTGGCAGCCGAACGTTGGAAGGACCTCTCTCAAAGTGAGATGCGAGACTGACCTGAGATCTCAAGCTTCCACTCAAATCCCCAGTAACAAATCACCATATCCCCAGTAAGAACTATGCCATAAATAAACGGGCTACTCAGTACTAGTAGTTTAACATATGGAATATCACAATCTCTAATAAATATATAGGTATATCGGATTTCGGTATATCTTGTAAATCATCTAGATCATCTAGAAATGAGCCATGTTCCATGCTCCATAGCTATGTTTTTTATTACCGGAGGATATGTCCCAAAGAAAACAAAGACAGCACCGAGCCGCTTGTGATGGGCCATCAGTGCTGTGACCAAACTGCAAAGACCTGGCGATTTGGTCGGCGTCTCGGGGGCGACTTCGTGCGCGGCGAAGAAGGGGGTTGGATGCCATACCAAGCGGCAATCAACACCAACTATAGTATCTCGAATAGACTGAAAATGACTCTGATGATCATATTGACGGTTTGTTAATGTTTGTTATATATGGTTATATACTGTTACATAATGCTATATAATGTTATATAATGTTATATATATATATTATATATCACATCTCAATCCAACTATTCCATGGGATGTCTATCTATTTCGATTGGGGATTCTTCATGGCAAACAAAAATGGCACCCATCGTACCGACTCTCCGAACGAAGCGCAGCACCTAGCCGCGGCAGGATGCCACAGGCGCGCCGCAACCAATCTACTGCCTGGCTGGGCATTCTGGTCATGGTTAATATACTGTTAATAATGGTTAATATATGGTTATTATATGGTTAATAATGGTTAATATGTGGCTATTATATGGTTAATGATGGTTAATACAGTATATGGTTATTATATGGTTCATGATGGTTGATAATAATCTGGTTGGTGGTTTCAACCTACCCCTCTGAAAAATCATGGAGTGAAAGTCAGTTGGGATAAATATTATATTCCCATATATTATGGAAAATAAAAAATGTTTGAAACCACCAACCAGCAAGCAATGTAATGTAGTAAACCCAACAATAATACCAGCCCCAATATCACCATGCTGGTATAAACCCTCCTGAATTTGAGGTGTAACTTCACGGGTTTACCACATTACACTATACGCACCCAAGGTGGCAATGAGATCCCACAGCCTGTGCTCATTTGGGTCAGCATTTTCAACAAATTCCATAGTCATCCCTTAAAAAGAACATCAGAAACCATCACAGAACCATAGTTCATCATATTTCCATGATCTATTTCCCACTCTCAGCATTTTCTTCACCAAAAAATCCTCTCCTCTTTGGGCTATCCATGACTGACCCATGGTGAATCTCCCCATCCAGTCCAGGTCCTCCAGGTCCTCGTTGGATTCCCGGACGCCATCCTCGTTGGCCAAGCGCAGCGCTGTTCGGATGGACTGCTGCACGCGCTGCACGTCCTCCCTGCGCTGCTGCTCCAACTCCACCTCCAACTGCTGCGCCTCTGGGGCTGGGTCCAAAATGGAAACAGAGATGAAAAGATGTGATTTTATATGCCTGGAACCTTGGGATTTCTGGGATTTTATAGGCTATAGGCATTTTATAGTACTAAAAACAACACACACACATATATATATATATATATATATCATATAATCACATATTAGTATATAATATAATATATATAATAGAATATATAATATAATATAATATAATATAATATATATATACTGTATAACATTATATATATACTGTATAACATAATATATATATATATAAGGGCCCAGTTGATACCCAAAGTTTGGCATCCCATCTCTGCTGCAATCCAGGTCACCAGATGAACTGGTGAACTTGGCCCTGCTACATCGATTTCACTATGGCCTGTTCAAGGGGTACCACCGGGCCATTTTTGTGCCCATTCCAGTGGCCTTTTGCGATAGCTTGTTGCCAGAATAGATCTCGCGCGGCCTTTGAGATGTCGGGTGCTCTGATAAAATCAGTGCATGGTCTGAGTAGGTCACCTGTCTATACCTGTCTTGTGTAAAATCCATCGGTTTTTCATTGGATTCTACTGATGTTTGAGCGATTGTTAAAGGATGTTTCATTGATGAGTGGCAAAAGAGTTGTCCGAGTAACGTCTCAGTCCACGCTGGAAAAATTGTTGGACAGTAAGATGTACAGCAATTCATGTTGTTCTGAAAGCGAAGCTTGCAGTCGGTTCAGGGAAAAATCTTTGAGTCGTTGAAATTTGAATCAATCGAATCAATCCTCCAAGCTCAGCAGGATACCATCGAGAATAAACAATTTGCACACCATCTCACCATTTGGGGGAATAATGTATATATATATATAGGGTATGATTCAGGTATGATACAATGACAGGCCATGGATGGCCATACTAGGATACCCTTAAAACAATGGTGATTCAATGGTGTTTCATGGCTTTTTCATCCCGCATTCTGCACAGCCCTGCTTGGCTTCACACTCCTGTGATGCGACCTCCAGTTCACGCAGCAAGCGATCCTGGGACATCCGCTTCGGAGGATCGCTGGGGAAGTCAACGAAATCAGGGATTTTCCCAGTGCCAAATTCAATTACCCTCTGGTAAACTAACATAGCTATTGGAAATGGCCATTTATAGTGGATTTTCCCAGCTATAAAATGGTGTTTTTCCATAGTTACGTTAAATTACCAGAGGGTACCGGAGGGTGATGGTGTATGATGCAATGGAACATCATGGAACATCCGGGGTATCCAGTCATCCCTCCAGGCTTTGAGCAGCCCCGCCAACGTTGCTTCTCCTGCAATTGCCTCGGCATCGTGCAAAATGGCATCGTGAACCATGGCCTATGTCGCACAAAAAGGCCAAAAAAGATCCGCAAGTTTCCGCCAAGTAGATCATAGATTGGGACTGGAATCATCTGGATACACTCGTGTGCAGTACAAAATCATATATATATATGTTATACAAATATGATGTCAAAATTCTCAAAATAGAGACATCATTTATAAAAACTTCGAAACCACAGCGACTCTTCATTCCCCTGCCCTACCTTCCCAGCGGATTTCCAATGCAAGGAGCCCGGCCTTGCGACTCTGCCGGAGCACTTGTAAAGCCTGGAGTCGCCAGGGCTGTGGATGATGTGACTGGCGAAATATTTGACAGCAACAAAATCAACCAATATAGCGAAGAGATGTGAAGAGTGCTTCTGATGACCCTACTATATCCTACTCAGTCCCAATCTGATGCAAGTTTTACGGTCAATCATTTGTCAATTCATGGTTTTTACTGGCAAATATGGGGGGGGGTCCTGTAGATTTTCCCTTCAACCAATCCAATGATCAATGGATTTTTGGTTGGTTAACCCCCCATAGAACCAATGATCAATCAATGTAGATTTTCCCTTTAACCAATAAATATTGTTTGATGTTGTTTTTGTTCTAAAAAAAGGTTCAAGTGGAGCGTGCCCGACCGTGCACCTTTCGCACCGCCTGAGCTCCAGGGCCTGTGCCACCAATGGATTGTTTTTTTTTCAGGGAATTCTTACAGGAAAACCATGGAAACCCCATAGAAATCATATGAAATACCCTCTGGTAAACTAACATAACTATGGAAAATCACCATTTTATAGCTGGGTAAATCAACTATAAATGGCCATGTTCAATAGCTATGTTAAATCCGCCGACCCTGGCCTTCGCCAAGGCCGGGGCGGCGCCTGGGACCACCGGAGGTGTGGATCCTGTCTTTCTTGAACCTTTGCCATGCCGTGGATCCTTTCTTTTTTGCACCTTTGCCACGCCCACACTGCAGGCAAACGCCATCACAAGGCCACAGCAATGGCTCAAGAGCACCCCACGGCCGCAGCAATGCCTTCTTTTCTAGGCGTTCAAGGCTGCCTGCTGTTCCAGCGTTGCAGCCTGCCGTTTGCCTGCATAGCGCTCTGTCGTTAGGGCGTCCATGCCTCGGGCACGCCCGCAGCAAAAGCCACCACAAGGCCACATCAATGGCTCAGGCATCCCCCGGCCAGCAATGGCTTGTTAAGGCGTTCAAGGCTGCCGTTTGACAGGCTTCAAACCCTTAAAACCCTTAAAATGCCTCGCCGGCCGTTTGCCTGCATAGCGCTCTGTCATTAGGGCGTCCATGCCTCGGGCACGCCCGCAGGCAAAAGCCACCACAAGGCCACAGCAATGGCTCAAGGCATCCCCCCGGCCGCAGCAATGGCTTGTTATAGGCGTTCAAGGCTACCGTTTGACAGGCTTCAAACCCTTAAAACCTTTAAAATGCCTCGCCGGCCGTTTGCCTGCATAGCGCTCTGTCATTAGGGCGTGCCTCGGGCACGCCCGCAGGCAAAAGCCACCACAAGGCCACAGCAATGGCTCAAGGCATCCCCCCGGCCGCAGCAATGGCTTCTTATAGGCGTTCAAGGCTGCCGTTTGACAGGCTTCAAACGCTTAAAATGCCTCGCCGGCCGTTTGCCTGCATAGCGCTCTGTCGTTCGGGCGTCCATGCCTCGGGCACGCCCGCAGACAAAAGCCACCACAAGGCCACAGCAATGGCTCAAGGCATCCCCCCGGCCGCAGCAATGGCTTCTTATAGGCGTTCAAGGCTGCCGTTTGACAGGCTTCAAACGCTTAAAATGCCTCGCCGGCCGTTTGCCTGCATAGCGCTCTGTCGTTCGGGCGTCCATGCCTCGAGCACGCCCGCAGGCAAAAGCCACCACAAGGCCACAGCAATGGCTCAAGGCATCCCCCCGGCCGCAGCAATGGCTTCTTATAGGCGTTCAAGCCTGCCGTTTGCCAGCCTTCAAACCCTTAAACTGCCTCGCCGGCCGTTTGCCTGCATAGCGCTCTGTCGTTAGGGCGTCCATGCCTCGGGCACGCCCGCAGCCACCACAAGGCCACAGCAATGGCTCAAGGCATCCCCCCGGCCGCAGCAATGGCTTCTTATAGGCGTTCAAGCCTGCCGTTTGCCAGCCTTCAAACCCTTAAAATGCCTCGCCGGCCGTTTGCCTGCATAGCGCTCTGTCGTTAGGGCGTCCATGCCTCGGGCACGCCCGCAGGCAAAAGCCACCACAAGGCCACAGCAATGGCTCAAGGCATCCCCCCGGCCGCAGCAATGGCTTCTTATAGGCGTTCAAGGCTGCCGTTTGACAGGCTTCAAACGCTTAAAACCCCTAAAATGCCTTGCCGGCCGTTTGCCTGCATAGCGCTCTGTCGTTAGGGCGTCCATGCCTCGGGCACGCCCGCAGGCAAAAGCCACCACAAGGCCATAGCAATGGCTCAAGGCATCCCCCCGGCCGCAACAATGGCTTGTTATAGGCGTTCAAGGCTGCCGTTTGACAGGCTTCAAACGCTTAAAACCCCCTAAAATGCCTCGCCGGCCGTTTGCCTGCATAGCGCTCTGTCGTTAGGGCGTCCATGCCTCGGGCACGCCCGCAGGCAAAAGCCACCACAAGGCCATAGCAATGGCTCAGGGCATCCCCCCGGCCGCAGCAATGGCTTCTTATAGGCGTTCAAGGCTGCCGTTTGACAGGCTTCAAACGCTTAAAACCTCTAAAATGCCTCGCCGGCCGTTTGCCTGCATAGCGCTCTGTCGTTAGGGCGTCCATGCCTCGGGCACGCCCGCAGGCAAAAGCCACCACAAGGCCACAGCAATGGCTCAAGGCATCCCCCCGGCCGCAGCAATGGCTTGTTATAGGCGTTCAAGGCTGCCGTTTGACAGGCTTCAAACCCTTAAAACCCTTCAAATGCCTCGCCGGCCGTTTGCCTGCATAGTGCTCTATCGTTAGGGCGTCCATGCCTCGGGCACGCCCGCAGGCAAAAGCCACCACAAGGCCACAGCAATGGCTCAAGGCATCCCCCCGGCCGCAGCAATGGCTTCTTATAGGCGTTCACGGCTGCCGTTTGACAGGCTTCAAACCCTTAAAACGCTTAAAATGCCTCGCCGGCCGTTTGCCTGCATAGCGCTCTGTTGTTACGGCGTCCATGCCTCGGTGGTGATTTGGGCACTTAGTCTAACCGACCCCATCTGACCCTTAGAAATTGGGGAAATCTGGGAGAATCACCAAATTGGATGGAAATAGTGGACCCGCCAATGCAACACTTGGATGCATAGAGCCAAAACTTGGGGAAATGTGGAGAGTTGATTGATAGCTCGCATTACAACGAGCATTCCAAATTATGCATCATGTTGGGAAGCCGACATGATCAAGGCAAACCAGTTAAAACCATCAAAATGCCAACATGGAAAACATAGGAGTCAGCTCGATAGGGTCAGTTGAAAAAGTCTTAGCCACAAATAAAGCATGAATAGCTGCAGCGATCTCAACAGGAGACATGCGCATTAGAAGGTCTTGGATGTCTTGGGGTGTTTCACAATATTTCATCCTGGTGGCGTCGCCACAATGACGTCATGAGTATTCCCCAATTTCTATCATCATTCCACTTTTGCAAATGGAATACATATCATGTCATATATATATATACATACGTATGTCTTCCTCTGTTAATTTGAGAGCGACAGACATGGGTCGCTCACCAAGAGCTTTTGTGTCCCATGGTGCATGCAGGCGACTGCAAGACGGTCACAGACAGAGTGGAATGAAAACGTATGTCTTACAATGTTTAGGCCTAGGCGTTTGCTGGGCTTCTTGAGTGGCTCTATGTCTGCGCACTTCTTCCTCCACCCTTGAAAAGGGGTCGGCGGCACCAGGGCGTTAGCCCATTTTATTACCAGAGGGTAATGGGAAAATCGATGGTTTCCGGGAAAAAGATTTTAAAGATTTTCCCATAAACCAATCCATTGACCGGCCTTAATCACAGCATCAAAACGTATCAAGACCAACCCACCATCAGAAATTGCTATCGCAGACCCTTGACCATTTCTCCATGAAAAGCTGTTTCACTGGGGCTGGGGCAACATGAAGTCATAACAAGTCCAAACCAACATGCGCCGCTCCCAATTTTGATGCCTAGGCCAGCTTTCCCATTGTCCTGGGGCTCCCAGGTGTAAAAGCTCAGTCTGATTGTGCCCACGTGACGCGCATGGGCAAGGTGGAACTAGATGGAGCCCCACAAGTTCAATCAATTCACTCTTCAAACCCTGACATCGTACCTGTAGCTACATGGGTATGGATCAATACCTATCAATACCATTTTTAGGGGGATGAACATCCATTTACCAGCTATTCTGATATATTTTGATGTTCACCAGGGGTACAAGGTTTTGACATGTTTTGACACACTGCCACATGACACTTGAACGTTCTGACACAACCCTACACATCCTTTAAAAAATCTTCAGAGCCATCGCAGCCATGGCATCCGGTCCTGTTGAACGAAGTTCTGGGCCAGCTTTTTCAATGGCTTTGTTGCCAACTCCGCCCCATGGGCGCCTCTGGAGGCAGGAAGAACCGCTTTCCCAAGTTTTGGATGGCTCAAAACGAGCCAACTCGCATATGGCAGCATCTATAATTATAGATTCATATAGATTCTATACCTTGTGATGGTTTAAACATGTTTAAACTATAGACAAAAAGGATTCGTATATCATCCGCAAAGACCAGCATCCACCGCGCCTAGGACACGGCTCTGGCAATCAACGTCTTGAGTCACTGGTGGTGCCTGCAGGGAACGCCATGCTGTGCCTTGCCAACTGGGGAACAACAGAAGTCACTTTTGCTGCTTAGAATGGATACAATTTTTGCAAAAAAATGAAATCGACATGTTGTTCTCAATTTATCAAATATGTGACATATGTCTTTTGTATGTTTTATGCACATAATAAGAACAATGTATGTATGCATGGACCATGCATGGATGTTTGATGATGTTTGCATGGATGTTTGCATACCGTGACTAGGGCGATTCCAGTGATTACAGTGCACAAATCATAGCTGCATAAAAGATTTTAAACGATTATATAAGTATATATATATATATACATCATATACCCATCATATCCATAGTTTTATGAGTTAATGGACTTATAGAGCGAGAGAGAGAGAGAGAGGTGAGAGGTCTATAGATGACATATCTTCAGGAACTGCCAGGTCATCCCTGGGCTTCCCCTCCACATCCTCCAGGGCCCTGAGTGACCGAACCCACCAATACCTTCCTTTGGCAACCTCCGCAGTCACCACCACCACCTCGAGGCAGGTGAGCTGTTTCCAGCTTTGATGTCGGGAAGTGTGAAAAAAATCCTGGTAGGTTTTTCGAACTGGCTACGAACCAGGATACTTGTATCTATGGTTATATATCATATGTATATTATTATGTGTATATATATATGTGTGTGTGTGTCTGTATATAGTTATAGTTATATATATTATATATGTTATCCCATGATAATGTTATACCTATGGATATCCCATGCTATCCCATTTATAGCTGGGTCATAAGCGCAGTGGCCACTGCGCCTTAGGCGTTTCCGGGCACGGTGGATGCGCTGAAGGCCAAACCAAGGACCTACCGGAAACAGCACAGGGGTAGAATCATCCGTGCTGTGGCTTGTAGCAACCCCCGTAAAACATAGAAATGGAAAGAGTATGAAAGAGCTAGAAAATGCAGCAAATTATGTTAACTTGCTGTTCTAAATTGTTTCTAACATGCCTTTGTAGAGAATTAAGTTTGCAGTCCGTGTTGATAATGTTATCTTTTCCAACACCAAAGTGTCATCACGGATTATCAAAAGAAAAAAAAACATGTGCCAGAGGTGTCTCACCCCACGCACCCCTGCTGTTATTGCTTTCAAATTATAGTTTGAAACTTTGTGGAAACAGCTTTGGTCCATGCACGTGAGTTGCATTTTTGGCATTCACATCCAATGCTTTCAGCATTGGTGTGTATTGTGCTGGACATCCCCGTCAAAAAGGGTAGACTGAACGGGGAACATGCTGTGTAATGACAAATGATGACTTATGGCAAACTGAAGTTTCCTGAATTAAGACTCTGGCCTTCTACTAGTACATGCATCCCTGATGGCATATTGCAGTACACATATCCTACTGTATCATTCAATCTGCGCACGTCAATAGACTTGAATCAACACGCTTATCTCGTATCAAGTGTGCGCGCAAAACACGCACGCGCACGCACGAGATGGATAGTAAGGAGCTCATTCGCCAGCAGGCAAAGCAATCGCCGCCATGTGATTGCGACCGGTGCTCAGCATCAAGACCTGCTGACCTGTCGCATGGCCATCATGGCAGGGATTTGGTCATGGGAGATGTCTTCCACCTGGATCTTGAGATCTGGGTTTGTCTGAAAATAGAGAGTAGCCGCGTAGCCCCAAATTTGATGATTAATCATATTTAATCATCATTCTCCTTGTGAAAAAGAAGCTTTTTATGGGCTGAATCCCCCATTTTCAGACACACAAAAATTTCTGGGACTCCCACTAGAAACCACTACCTCTACCTGCCCGTGACACCTTGAAGACTTGGCTGTTTCCAGTAAAGTGGTCGGGCTACGCCTGGGCTCGAAAATCGGACAGCCAGCATTTCATGGGGAAAAAGCAGCAGTTTTTACTATGTTTTACCATGTTTCACCACAGTTTAGCATGCTTCACCAAATGTTTTTCCATAGTTACCTCATGTTACCTCTCTCTGCCTTTTTGTTTGGGCGTATCCCCATTTTAGGACATATGTGGTGCCATCTGCTCGGATTGCGCCGTATTGCGCCTGGGGTCTTGCAGGGAGTCCCCGTCACTGCATCAAATCTATCCAATGGTTCATTGATCAACTGCAATCGAAAATTCCTAAAGAGCCGGCCCACATTTCCAAAGTCTCAGTTGGCAGAGCTGTGCAAATATGTGGGATGTTGCGTATAACCGCTGAACTTGTGAAGTGAATGCAGACATTGGAGGCGAAAGAAAAGAAAATTACAAGCGGAGTCACTTTTAGATATCTTTTCTCTCAATCAAAACTGGAAAATGAACCTCCGTGCCTGCTCTGAATGGAATTGGGCCTTCACGAGAATGACTCATCTGAGGAAGTAAATACTTCCCAGCATGTCAATCTGCTTAGTAACAGACATGCTTACAGTCTAGAGTCGATGGGTAAACCGGCCACCCTGCAATGATCCAAATGTGCAAATCTGAGATACCCTGCAAAAATAGCCGGTTAGTAAACCCTAAACCCATGTATAGCCAAAGATTGATGTACTAGCTGTAGAACAAAGTGACCATTCAAGGTTTCCCCAGACTTCAACTCCAGCCAATTTGGTTCATGATCCTCAGATATTCCAAGTCACCAATGCGGTGAGGGCCCATCATGTAACACTTCATCATGTCCACCTCTGGAGGTTTCCCTGAGCGGATCCGATCTGGTTGCATCCAGCCATATTTCGGCCGCGCGAATCGAATCGTCCAATCGTTCTATAGACACCATACGCACGTGACCAATGTGGATTAGCTTTGAATTAGGACCTGGTGACTATATATTCACCTTCGTGTTAATAGTCGGTTCCAATCGTTCTAGAGTGATCACAATTTGGCTTCAATTTTACATAGCTATTGAAATTGGCCCATCTTACAAATGATTTAAATCATGATTTGTATTAACTTTTAACCTTTTAAAAATGAAAAAAAAAAAACTGTGATTTTCCATAGCAAACATCTAAGCTTTTCCCAGAGGATTCTCCCAGCCTTCGCCTTTCTTGTTCAGAAAACGCTCGACACCGCAACGGCCATCATTGCTGCCGCAGCCCCATGCCTTGAGTCCACAGCTTCCACAGCTTCCGTTCCGCTGCTGGTCACCGATGTCAATGGGGAATGAATCATGGCGATTCTGAATGGGATATCAATGGGCTATTGAACTGCGATATGGGATCTAAATGGGATTTTATAGGTATATACGGTATAACATGCAACTGTAACCAACCAACTAAATTAATTCCTAAATTTTGCAGTTGTACAGCAACTGCATTTGTCAATGTCATTACCTGTAAGTTGCCAATAATTGGAGAATACTAGAGAAGACTTTGAGCCAATAGCCTTTTTCTCTTGGTTGCTCTAGCACGAAAGAGGTGGCTTTCAGTTTTGACATCTTACCACCAACTAAATTTTAAACCGAAATTCCCGAAATATTGCATAAATTCAAAACGCCATGCCGCAAAAATAGACACTTGACGCAGTGACCAAAGAGTGTAGGCAACAAGTGTTGGTAGTGTTAAGTGTTTTGATATGTTTAGTGTGTTATCAGAATATTATTACCCTCTGGTAAACTAACATAGCTATTGAAAATGGCCATTTATAGTGAGTTTTCCCATTAAAAAAGGTGACTTTCCATAGTTATGTTAGTTTACCAGAGGGTAAGCATCGTACACATGCACTCCATCAGTTTACCACTTCCTCTGTCAGACTAGTCATGCGCTGTGCCCACTTGGTCCGATTGGTCACAAGCAGGGTGCTGCCAGGGAGGGGCACCAGTCACAAGCTGGTACCTAGAAGACAATCTCCAAACTTTCCAAAAATATATCTGATATATATCTAAAGATGGGGGGGTTCTCCAAAGTTGGCTTAAGTTGAAAGAGGAAGTGATGGTATTTCCATGGGTAAACCATGGGGTGTTCCGGTTTTCTCAGACCCAAAAAGTTGTTGGCCAAGGTACCCATGCCTTGCCATCAGCACCTGGGATCGATCCATTTGGTGCTTTGCACAAATATATATATATATATATATACTAACAAATCCCTACTGATCAGCGTGTCTCCACAACAGCGCAATTTCTGATCGGTGACATCCCACATGAATTCCAATCCCACCTTTTTGCCACAGCTTGCAAGCAAGAGCCGCCCAACCATCCCCCATCCCTTGCCGCAACTATGTCAGAAAGGGCCTTGTCCGAATGTGCATGTAGATGCGCTGTTTCTAGCTAGATTTCATATGATTTCATCTATACTGCTCAATCCTCATTTGGGTTTGTCTGAAAATAGTGTACCCCTACACCCAATGGTTAATGATCATTATCCTTCAGACTTCTTAAATCCTTTAGGATGCCATTTTTGGCAAATATTTTTTTTTATGATTTATTTATGATTTGAATACGATTTCCATTTATGATTTTTTTATGGGTTCAAATTGTGGTTATGATTTTTTTATGGTTTGGATATGATTTTTTTATGGTTTTGGATATGATTTTTTTATGATTTTTTTATGTTTTTTTAGTCCTCAGAATCTGGTTTTCAGCTATAAAAACTCGAAATTTTCGATTTTTTTATGATTTTGCTAGAGTTTCTCTACGAAAATCGTAAAATAATCGTAAAAAAATCGAAAATTTCTCGAGTTTTTAGCTGAAAACCAGATTCTGGGGACCTTGGGTGCATTTACGATTCATTTACGATTTTTTTACGATTTTTTTACGATTTTTTTACGATTTTCCTAGAGAAACTCTAGCAAAATCATAAAAAAATCGAAAATTTCTCGAGTTTTTAGCTGAAAACCAGATTCTGGGGACCTTGGATGCATTTACGATTTTTTTACGATTTTTTTACGATTTTTTTACGCTTTTGCTTCCAAAATCAAATTTTCTGCTGAAAAGGCTTTGGGGAAAAGGAAACTCTAGCAAAATCATAAAAAAATCGAAAATTTCTCGAGTTTTTAGCTGAAAACCAGATTCTGAGGACTAAAAAAAACATAAAAAAATCATTAAAAAACATATCCAAAACCATAAAAAAAAACATATCCAAACCATAAAAAAATCATAACCACAATTTGAACCCATAAAAAAATCATAAATGGAAATCGTATTCAAATCATAAATAAATCATAAAAAAAATTATTTTGAAACCCCTCCATCCTAGAGACTTAGGAACTCTGAACATTATCCCTACTAAATGGCTATAATTGGGGGTATACCCCATTTTCAGACATACCCATTTTCCTTATTAAACAGTGCCAAAAACATGCAGACCCGGGGTGTCCTCGTCCGCAACATCCAAGGGACAGAGCACGGCGCAGTGAATGTGCGCGGACACGGCTTGGATGGCGGGGCCGATGGCATCGTAGGGCGGTGGCAGCCCCAGTGGCGACATGGGCGGTTCCGAGGCATTCCGCAAGGGACCACCCAGGCGGTAGGGCTTAAACTCGTCCCAAGGCCTTGCGTATAAAACCAAGGATGTGAAGCGAAACAGGGGATAAATCATAATAAATCGCCCTCCAGTTTTTTGCATCTTGCTGAAGGTGAGATCAAAATGAACCAAAATGCTGATCTTTTCTGGGGAAAAAAAAACTGGGATTCAACTTTTCACCAACATCTGGGGTTGGTGGGTTTAGGATCGGTGGGAGAGACCATCGCTTGCGGAGACCATCCAAAAGTGTAATGTTTATCCCGCCTCCAATTTGATCCGAAATCGATGGTATAAGCACTAATATATAGGATGCTATAGGCTATAGGACATATATAAAGTGGACATATATGCCACCTTCAATGTTTCCACGTGTTCTGATCTCTCTAATTGATATTATATGATATTGTTATATGGAAATATGGGACATACATGGACATACATGGACATACATGAACATACCACGGTATTTCGGAGCCACATCTTGCGCCACCCAATCCCATGTGCCTTCCAAAGGCACCATCTTTGGCTCCCAAATTGCCAAGCAACCCCTTGTGGCACGTGCCCATGGTATATACTGCACCTGGCCATGCGGGGTCTGCGAATAGTCACCCATGGCCCCCGTGTGGAACAACAGAAGGTATTACTATAAGATCAGAAAAAAACTACCCTCTAGTAAAACTAACATAACTATGGAAAATCACCACTTTCAATGGGTAAATCCACTATAAATGGGCCATTTTCAATAGCTATGTGAAGGTATAAGGTGCTATAAGGGCTTAAATTTCAAACAGTCTCACCTCAGTTGAGCCTCAAGCATCATGAAGTCATGACTCCACCCTCCAGAAAGCTCCTCAGCCTTCTGAGGCCTCTGTCCCCCAGGGAAAGTCTTACATACTTCCTGCAGTGTCACTTCAACACACCGGAGTCAGTCATACAGCGCCTGAAACAGCAATGGCAATGGTGTGAGGCCCCTCTTGCCCTCCATCTTTCCTGACTCGTGAGTTCTACGCAGCTCTGCAACTCTGCAACTAGAAATCCAGAGAAGATGGCATTTTTTCTGGGACGAAGGGATATCTTGAAGAATCAAAATGGGGGTTTATTGGGTTTTAACCCACCAACATGGGGATCTTCAATTTCGACCTTGGTAGGCAAAACAGCTTCCAAGTCGCGGGTTGAGTCCACCTTTACACCCTTCTTGGCCGCGAGTGCAGGCAAGCTGCCTTGGGAGGCCCCTTTGGCCAAGGGTGGACTCTGTTTTTCCAGGGCACCCTGTACCACTGGGGGTAAAAATCAGATAAAAACAAATAAGAAAATGGTCCATCACACATCACAAATTACAAACATATACAAACGCTAAGAGCGCCATAGACACCAGTTTTGTTTCTGCATACTGGCCACTGCTTGGGATGTCACTGTGGAAGTCAGACAAAAGCCACCTTCTTGGGCAACAATGCAGAGGGAAGTGTCCTTGACTCTGTCTTTAAAGTCTTTAATCTCCTTCAAATTTTGTGGATACTCCCCGACAATAGCGCCTCAAGCACCGAAAACCCCAAATGGAACATTTGATAGAATGGGTATGAATGGGTAAACCATCCATCCCAGATAAACCTGCGAAATGGCAACAGCCTGACGCAGGTTGGCAACCTCTATGATCTGTATGCCTTTATGCTGTCCCCAAGCCCAGATGTGAGGGACATTCAGCAGATCTGCTTGGCCACTTGCTTCTACATAACCTCAAGTTTCTTCAGATTGGTCTTAGTTGGTATTAGTGCACGAAGACGTACAAGGCTCTAGCACTTTGATACCGGTCCCCTCCGGTAATCAAACATGGTTTGCTGGGAAATCCATCATTCAGTTCGATGATTCACTTCGATGAATTTTCCCATCAAAACCTCCATTGTTTTTCAGGGATTTCCCAGCCGTGGCAATGAATAGCCCTCAGTGTACCCTGAATCTGTGTCCCAGCAGCCGAATGGGCTCCAAGTCGTTCACAGCCTGGGGGCTGCTGTGCGATCTCCGATCACCAAGGCCAAGGTTGCCATGGCCCCCATAGCCTAGGAGCAGCCGCTATCCCGGGACCCGTTTGTGAAATGAAAAGTTGGAAAACAAAACGATGAAAAATAGAGATTTACAGAGATTTATCATGCTTTGACATCAAAACTTGGTGATTTACTTTGTTATTGATTCAATGAATAATGGATTTTGGCGTGGCTGTATAACCCCAAGTTATGGCAATTTAATCAGGCGAATTGATGAACATGGTGACTCACAAGTGGATTTTGGAGGCTGCCCTATTCTTCAGAGAGTTTCAGGACAAACCAAGCTTGTCTCATGGACAATCTCAAGATATTTGAAGCAAAGCTACCCCACATGAGCAATCCTCCAGCTTTGGTCACGGCACCAGCATAAAGGGAGCCAAGGGAAACCTCGGTTGATCCCCAGATCCCCAGATCCTGGCATGTTGTTTTTCGAATTTGAGGAAATTTATGACCCTCCATGCTTCCCAATTCTTCCCAATTCTTCCCATGCAAAACAGACTCCAAACTTGGAAAGAGCTGTTCCTCGACAGGTGAAACATGTGAAAAAAGATCTCCAAATATCAGGAATAAACTGATCACTGATCACCTTCACCTCCCAACTGCGGAGAAAGTCACACTACGCACCCCGTCACAAGCCAAGCCGGGTGTAGAGACATGCTCTGCTGAGACACCTTGGCCCAGCCTGGCCACATCATGTTTAAAGCCCCCTTTTTAATGGAGCCTACCAGTTGGGGATGATCTTTACCAACCATTTATATATATTTATGTCATAAATATAGCAAGATTGTGGCTCATGGGTTTACAAAGGGTCTCACTAAGCATTCGGGTTGACACCCTGAAATTCCCATGGGATTGTTGAGGCCCAAGACTTCCTGGAAAGTCGGTCTATTGTGATGTATTGTGACCCAGGTGCACCCAAGGCTTGCGAAATCTTGAAGGAAAAATGATCAAGCATTTGCATCCCCGATGATCGTGATTTGGGTAGGGCTATTCATTGCCAGATTGCCCCAGTGTTTTTTTTCCAAAACCGACGTGTCGCGGCTTCTTGGCTGGTTATCCCAAAGTAATTTCCCAACCTGGATAAGAGCTATAGACGGGGCATACCGGCATACCTCTAAAATATACAAAAAAAAAAAAAACAATACACTGTAATATCAATGGGAATTCCAGGATCCTAAATTGGGGGTACTGTACCATATAAGGCCATATTTTGTGGGGATATTCCCTTACATAGGCCTTATATAGGCCTTATATATGGTAGGTACCTCCAATTTAGGTTCCTGGAATGGCCATTGATAATATGACTAATTCAATGGAGAATCAACCGCTGGACCTGGCGGGACCTGGTGTCCGGTCTGCTAAACCCATCTATGACAGACCGCGCAGACGTCACCGCTGGTCCGGTGCACCTTCCGTGGCCGTTACAGCCCCAGGTGAACAGCTTCCCATCATCCAGCACAGCTGCAGAGTATCCGTCCTGCAACGGTCCATTGACGTTTTGATCACTACCTACAGTACCCTCTGGTGATTTAACATAGCTATGGAGAAAAAAAAAAAAACATTTTTAACAGGTAAATTATCATAAATAATCTATAAAACGGCCATTGTCCATAGCTATGTACTGGATGATCAAAATGCCTTTGAGGCTCACTCCACTACCTCCACTCGAAAAAAAAAAAACATCCTCCCATGGGAACAAATCTACACAAGTCTATGCCGTGATTATTTCCTGCAAATGCGAAAACATAACCTCCACAATGTTGTCTGCTCTTCATGATGGAAGATTATGACGATGCATGGAGGGTACATATAAATGTGAAACCCGAAACAGAAAATTGGCAGCGGACTTGACCAGAGAGAACGACAGTAGTGGCAACGAATTTGTGAAATAAACAACAACAATGGTTGGTTCCAAAGCTTCCAGGCAGATTATTTGTGAAATAAACAACAGACGCAATAATACCTGGAAGCTTAGGCAGATTTCCAATCCTCTCTCCCAGGCAGCTTAGTGTCTGGAAAGGCCAACCCATCCGCGCCTCGCAATCAATGAAGGTTGAAGCTCCGGGAAGCACCACAGCGGTGGGAACCCCACCTGACGCCTGCGGGCAACGAAAAAGCAACACCTTATTCATCAAAGGTATGCTACCCAAGGAGTAGCACACACACACACCGTATGTATGTATATGATTGTATGTACATATATATATATATATTTATCTATCTATCTATCTATCTATTTATCTATCTATCTATCTATCTATTTATCTATCTATCTATCTATCTATCTATCTATTTATCTATCTATCTATCTATCTATCTATCTATCTATATCTATATATATATATCCGTGTGTGTATGTATACTGTATACATTGTACAGTATGTATATTTTTTTGACCAGGTTCTCTCACAGCGTCCACATATTCTCCACCGTGCCTTGTCGCAGTGCCCTCGGCCCAACCTTGGCTCAGCACAACCCTCCTTGGGGCCACCCCCTCACCAAGCTCACCAGTCACCAGTCTGAATGCATCAGATATATGACCTATATGAGTTATATACAATACAGCATATATATATATATATGATCTATATATTTGATGTATGCCATATCTGGCATCTCCAGCTATATGATCCATAGGGCTCATCAATCTTAGAGTCACATGTTGCCCCCAAAAAAAGGGATGAATGTTCTCTAAAGGTGGGTATATAAATCTAGTAAAACATCATCCAAAATCAATGCATGGGCATGTCGCTCTCAAAAATGACCCCATTCACCCAAAATTAACCATATTATCATAGCATTCATATTAATCATATAACCCCCATGTTAACCATCTTTAATCACCATTTTACATATGTAACCTCCAATTCAATCCAATTCAGCCATATGTCAGCCCTAATTTTGCATTTCCAAACCCTACACAAAGCGAGCAGCTGCCCATAGCGATTGCTGCCCCACAGGAAGACACGACCGTCTTTCAGCAGCGCAGCACCGTGGTCGGCACTGAAAGCCTCGGGCTAATTAATGAGAAGGGCTTAGGTCTACTGGACAGGCAGTGAATCAATATATGTATAGCAGAAAATTCGGTTTGCATTCTGATATGTACGGATTATGAATCTGTATATATATATATATAAATATTTAAAAATATTATCTGTGTATGGGCTTCTGTTGTTTCTTCACATGTCTATTCACAGCATTTGTATTCACATGTCTATTTGCAGCATCAGATATGAGTACGTATTCATTTATGTTCGAATATGTTTGAATTAGTTTTGCAAATACATCGTGACAGGCTAACCAACTCAATAGGAACATTGACACGAAGTCGGTTGTTTGCTTTGAGGTAGCTGCAGGTGTCCATGTTGCACTAACATTTTTGAAGGTCATTTTTTTGAGCAAGCAAAACGTTTGCTTTGGCTGGCACTTGACTACATTATGGTGACCCAACAAAAACAGGCAAGTAATTTATCACAGTAGGATTTTTACTTTTCATGACTCTTCTATGTGTTTGCTTTTTAACCTGCTATATTGACTATATATTAACTATAGCAGCCTCAGGCTCAACTCCACCAAGCAACTGACATGATCACATGCTCGCCTGCCAAGGCATCCACGCGCTTGGGAGCCGCCAGATTGGGGCCATCACCGTGCCCCAGACGTTTGTTGAAGTTATTGCCTTGGTCAATGGATGGGTTTGGTCCATGGGAATTCCAGGATCCTAAAATGGAGGTACTGTATTATATAAGGCCATATTTTGTGGGTATATCCCCTTACATAGGCCTTATATAGGCCTTATATATGGTAGGTACCTCCATTTTAGGATCCTGAAATTCCCATTGATTTGGTGGGGAAAATCTGCAGGCGGTAAATTTTCCCTCATCTCCCGGATACCGTTTCAGGCCATGGATACTGCCCAGTGTGTTTGTAGTTTTTCATGCGGTTGCACCACTAATGTCCTAACTATCAGAAGCCTTAGGTGATCGTAATATGATATATATATATATGTAGATTATATGTATATTATGATTGTATATGACGTGATACGGACGAGGCCTTGATCACATAATATAAACAGCTGGGCTGTGGACAATCATGGAATGTCAATAAATCCCTTGGCACCGTGGCACCTCAAAGGGGAACCAGCTTGATGCAAGCCATGTAAAAGTGAGCCGCTGACCCTACCCTTCAATAATCATGGCCATGGCTGGGAAATTCCTCATCCAACTATTTCATCCCCCAGGCGAAATGGATGTTCGTCATGACCCCCCGAAAAATATATGGTGGTCAACTTGGGTGTGTCGGTCCAATATAAGGGGAAGACCTGACAATCCCGTGGATGATCATAATTTTCCCAATGAAAAGAGCCATTTACTTGCAGGTATATCCAATTTTCAAACGCAACCAAATACAAATTATATATGGTTGGTTTATAGTTTTATCTTAAAAACAAAACAATCCCATCAAATATCCCAATTTCAAGAAAACATGCATTGACAATTCTACCGAAATCCCATCTAATCCCCATTTTCCCAGCATTTTCCCATGATTTTCTCGGCGTTTTCTCAGCTTCCCCATGCCCCGTAGCTTGTCACGTCACCAAAGGTGTAGAGCTCTCCTGAGAGCGTCACGGCGCCGGTGCAGCCCTGCTGCCCACCACCACAGGCCACGTGAACCACACGGCGCCTTGGGGATGGAAAGGGGTGCCACGGACGTCATAACCAGATGTTTATTGTAAATGTTCATTTGATTGTTATTGATATATAAATGCTATATATATATATGTTTATATATATATATAATTAAATATAGACACTATTCTTATATATGTTTATTTTACTTTTTGTTTTCTATAATATACTACAATAGACTTTAATATATTTAAAACAAACTATATTATATATATATATTTATAAAAACCCTATTCTTCTATTTACATACATACATATACATACATATACATACATATATATATGTGCGTATTTCTGTTATTACATGTTGCTACTACTGTGCTTTGGTGATGATGATGATGATGATGATGATGATGATGGTGGTGATGACGGTGATGGCGCTGATGGCGATGATGGTGATGATGATGGTGCTGGTGGTGATGATAATAATGATGATAATAATGATGATAATAATGATGATAATAATGATGATAATAATGATGATAATAATGAGGATGGTGATGAAGATGATGCTGGTGATGATGGTGGTGATGATGATGATGATGATGGTGGTGATGGTGATGGTGCTGATGGTGATGATGGTGATGATGGTGATGATGATGATGATGATGGTGATGATGGTGATGATGGTGATGATGGTGATGATGATGATGATGGTGATGATGGTGATGGTGATGATGGTGATGATGATGATGGTGATGATGGTGATGATGATGATGATTATGATTTTGATGGTGATGATCCAAGCAACAACATCCAACATTCTCGGACATCCCCCAACCAACCACCGCGGCTGCTGGCGAGCCAAGCGTCAGCCCCGGAACTGGCTGCGGCAAAGCACAGTTCACCGATGGAAAGCGCACCTTGTCCTGCCAGGGCGACAAATTGATTGGGAAAACATCATTGTCACGATTTCATGATTGTATCTGATTGTCCTGTGCAATTTTCTCAGATCCTGATTGTCTGTTCACAGGATATTGACTGACACTGAGGTCCTGTTCGCTAAATTTCTGATTGTTATGTGCAGTTTAACATCGCATGTGCCCCAGCCAACTGCAATCACTCACTGCCTTTCCACAGGCAACTCTGGTTCAAAAAAACAAATGACATCAAATGAGGTAATAATCTGTCAAACGGCTTTTGTCGGGGCTGCAGGCTCAGACTTCTTGATGGTAGGGTGTTGTTTCAAATGCTTCAACATGCTTCAACAGTTGTCAGGTTTCATAATCAGACTCCTGGTTCTTTCCAACTATCAATTATGCGTATAACGGCCAGTATTGCGTACTTTTCAGGAATAAAATTATTATCGAACCTATCAGCATTAATCCAAACATTCTATCAGAAAAATTAAATGAATACTTTCCAGCATTACTGTATGCATCATCTCATAGTCGGAATTTCACGTCGTGATCCTCCACCGTTTGCCGATGTGGATTGATGATTTATGCCCCGCTCCTGCCCCAGCTGTCCATCAGTACCACGTCCCCAGGTATACAGCTGACCACCTGGATGGGAAATTCAGGACCCTAAACATGCTGGAATGGGAGAATGGGATGATTGTTGCTAGTGAACATGGATCATTCCCCCATGCCCTACTAAGCACCAGTAAGTAAAATAGAGGTAGTGTACCACAAAAAGCCATAGAAATTAGGGGTATATCCGGTGACATAGCCATAAAAAATAGATCTGCCAGTAGTGCCGCACAAGGCGGTGGCAGAAGTTTCAAAATAGGAAACCTATAGGAGAGATTGGTTGTTGTGAATCACGGATGGCAGAGCGAATCCACTGATGGACCGAAAGGTGGTTGGAGCTGTGTTTTTTGGAGTGGTTGCAATGGTTGCAGTGGTCACCTGGTCGGTCACCTCACCCACAACTGCTGGATGTAGCGTGGTGTAGTGCAGCTGTAGCTGTAGTTGTAATGTAGTGGAGTTGTAGTTGTGAGTGTAATTAGTGTAGTGTAGTTGCAGTTGCATTTGTGGTGATGTAATGAGTGTAGCGTAAGCCAGTAATGTAGTGCAATGTGGGGTAGGGTAGCGCAGTGTAGTGTAATTGAGTGTAGTGTGGTGTGGTGTAGTGTAGTGTAGTGTAGCGTAGTGTAGTGTAGTGTAATGAAAGTAGTGTAGCGTAGTGTAGTGTAGTGTAGTGTAGCGTAGTTTAGTGTAGTGTAGTGTAGTGTAGTGTAGTGTAGTGTATCTAATGCAATTAGTTCAGTGTAGTTGTAGTTGTAGTTGTAGTTGTAGTTGCAGTTGTAGTTGTAGTTGTACTTAGTGTAGTCTAGTCTAGTCTAGTCTATTCTAGTCTAGTCTATTCTAGTCTAGTCTAGTCTAGCGTCGCGTGGTGTAGTGTAGCGTAGTTTAATTGAGTGTAGTGTACTGTAGTGTAGTGGAGTGTAGTGTAGTGAGGTGTAGTGTCGTGTAGTGGAGTGGGGTGTAGTGTAGTGTAGTGCAGTGTAGTGGAATGAAATTAGTGTAGTGTAGTGTAGTGTAGCGTAGGGTAGTGTAGTGTAGTGGTGTGGTGTAGTGTAGTGTAGTGTAGTGTAGCGTAGCGTAGTGTAGTGTGGTGTGGTGTGGTGTGGTGTAGTGTAGCGTAGTGTAGTGTAGTCTTATGTAGTTGTAGTTAGTGTGATGTACTGTAATGTAGTGTAGTGTAGTGTAATGTCATTAGTGTAGTGTAATGTAATGTAGTGTAGTTGCAGTTCCAGTTGCAGGTGTAGTTGTAGTTGTAGGTATAGTGCAGTGTCATTCGGTGTAGTGTAGTGGAGTGTAGTGTAGTGTATGTAGTGTAGCGTACTGGAATGTAGTGTAGTGTAGTGTAATGTAGTGTAGCGTAGTGGGGTGTAGTGTAGTTTAGTGTGGTGTAGTGTAGGGGAATGTAGTGTAGTGTAGTGTAATGTAGTGTAGCGGAGGTGTAGTTGTAGTTGTAGTGTAGTGTATTGGAGTGTAGTGTGATGTAGTGGTGGTTGTAGTTGAAAATGCGACAAAACCATCACGTTTTGCTCACCTTTGACAAGGTGCACAATCCCTTGCGCCTGTCACGCGAAACGACATCTGAAAAGTGGTCCGAACCCCTGGTGCTTTTACCATTTTGACGTCGAAATGTGCTTCGCGCCACAACGGTGTCCACTTTTTCGACATCTCAACTTCCAAAAGTGCTCCGAACGTGCAGTGTTTTTAGCTTTTTCGCTTGCAAATGTGCTTCGCGCCACAACGGTGTCCACTTTTTCGACATCTCAACTTCCAAAAGTGCTCCGAACGTGCAGTGTTTTTAGCTTTTTCGCTTGCAAATGTGCTTCGCGCCACAACGGCATCCACTTTTTCGACATCTCAACTTCCAAAAGTGTTCCGAACGTGAGGTGCTTTTAGCTTTTTCACTTGCAAATGTGCTTCGCGCCACAACGGCGTGCAATTTTTCATCTCTCATCTGGCCAGCGGGCTCCGCACCCGCCGCTTTAGCAAGCCTACTTTTCGACCCTCCGGAACCACAAATCATTGGAAAAAGGCAATGTTTCGCGACTTTCCTACCTTTTCGCACACCTGTATCTTCTTTCTTCTGAAACTTTCTCTTTTTGTGATCTTTCTTCTTCCCTTCTCTTCTCTGACTCTTCCCACCTCTGCTTTTCATCTGTCCATATTGTCGGAAGTTTGACTTCTAAACTTCCTTCGGTAATTATGGTAGGTACTTGCAATATATCGGTACCTGAAATAGCCAGTGATCTTACTTAAATCTGTGAACAATCAGCTGGTAAGTCAACAGGTTCCGCTGGATAGGTAATCACCATTTCAGGATATTTCTCGAACAAACATCATGGTAAATCATCAAACCGAATGGGCCATGCCTTCCAACTGTGTAGATCAGAAACCATCAGAAAACTTCGTCTGAGGTTTGCTGCTTAGAAAGTGTATCAAAGTGATATGCTGTCCGACAAGCATCATATTATCTTTTCATATATGTTTTGCATCTGACTAAGCAATTTCAGCCAGGTCCTCCAAACTTCACCCGTTTGCAAAATGTGTTGCAACACTCACGCTACCAGGAATTTCAAGGGCGCATGTCATGGGCTGGAAAACAGGGACAACTGCTGTGGAATGCACATGGCCGAATACTTGGGAAAACAATTTCAGGGGTTGACCACCTACCCGGATTGCTGGAGTGCACAGGGTGATCCGGGATGATCGTCTCTAAAATAACCAACCAAGTTTTTGGGGGATCCTTGTATCGTGTTTCGGCGGTTTCTGGATCGCCTTCAAAAAATTGCAGACAAGGTCACCTGCCAGGTTAAAACCAACATAGATGTGCAGACCCCACTATTTAAGTAGATCATTTTCCGAAACCAGTGGGTTTTTTCCAAATCTTTTTGTATGTTTACCCCAAGGTTCACCGTCCCACATAGGTCCGCTGCTTTCCCAACCTCCCAGGCCAACCAAATTTGCCAGCAAATCTCCAGGATCTGCTTCGGCCTCCTTCGGCTCCAAAGAAACATCTGCCTGTAGCGAATCAGATGCTCAAAACATCTCAAAACATTACGCCACTATGAAGAGTTCTTATTGGTAATGAAGCGGTAAAAACTCTAATAGCAGTCTCATGTACATGTATATAGATATATAGGACTATATTGGTATAACTGGTAAAAGTTAATAACTAAATTCTTTGCAGTCGTATGAATCACAGCGGACGGCATGGTGCCTCTGGCGGAAGCGGCGTCTCCGGTACCGCAGGTACCGCAGCGACTTCAGCGGTCGAGGGCTCAACCGCTTCCAGCGCCGGCGCTTCGGGCACCGAAATGGGCTCCGCTGGAAGCTCGGCCGGAGGCCTCGTTTCGAAATGGTGAGAAACCCGTGGCAAAAACATGGGAAATGGTGATTTCACTAGGTGGAAATTGTTTTATTATTCAGGGAAGTTGTGATTTCACTAGGTGAAATGGTGATTTAACCATTGAAAATGGTGATTTACAGTAATGGGATATTAATGGGATATACCCTCTGATAATCTCACATAGCCATGGAAAATGATGGAAACAAACTTGTTCAATAGGCAAACCATCCACGAATTGGGCAATTGTCCCTGGCTATGTTCGACTAGCGGAGGGTAGTGGATGCAAATGATATGGGGAGGACTACACATGCTGTCATAGGGGGCACATCCATACTCATCCATCCCAACTTCCAGCCACAGTGTGAGGAATAAAGTCTAAAGTGCCAAATGCACCCTGGAACACCATGGAACATCATTCTATATATCATCATCAATATCATAAACCCACATCAAAATATGCCAACAGTCAACACGGATTAAGTTTGCAATTTCGGGTTTTCAGGGTTTGTCTGAAAATAGGCTCCATCCATTCCGGGTGGGAACCGTGCTACCAAGCATCTCCTCCGCCGAATCCCCGGGTTCCACCGGCGCCACATGGCTCTCGGCTGCGGGGTCGCTAGTCTCGGCCAGGACCTTGTCCGAATGCTGGGCACCTGAAAAGACCTGCGCAGCATGGGAGGATTGGATTTTGCTGTTACTGTTGTGCGCAATAAACGCATATATAATTTGTTTATTAATGTGCATTTACCTGTATATACATATGCAGATCTATGTCTATATTGAATTATCTCATACATGTTGGATATTGCTAGGGTATGGCTGTTTGGAGAAATAATCAAATATATATATATATACATTGAATTGATATACATTTGATATATAACTATGAACAGAGCCTCTCTCTATATATATATATATGCATACGTCATAACATGTTGGATCCTTGAGACGGGTTGGATATGATCCATGTTGGAATTAGAATAGCTAAACTGTATTGCCAGCCGCATTCGACGCAAAGAGTTGCTTCGCACATCTGGCCCCGATCCATAGGCAGCGAAGGCACCCAATCCAGAAATTCTTCCGTGTCGACCTGTCCATCTTTGTTCTTGTCCTTGGCTCACAACAACATTCGCAGATCCTTCAGCTTCAAGTCTGTCCCTTCATATTTGGTTCCTCTCAATCAAGTAAGTCAAATAGTGTTGATATTGTTCTGTGCCATCCAACTAACATAGACCCTACCATTTTGGGGGGGTTCGAAAACCACATTTCCCCAATCATTAGTCTTCAGGACGAAAATGGCAGAGCTGCTAAAATTCTATCCCATAGATGCGTGCCGGCGTAAGGATGTATTCTGCATTAATTAATTTTTAGCCGAAGGAAATTTAGAAGTCAAACTTCCGACAATATGGACAGATGGAAAAGCAGAGGTGGGAAGCGTCAGAGAAGAGAAGAGAAGAGAAATGAAGAGAAGATAAGAGAAGAAGAAAGAAGATGCAGGTGCGCGAAAAAAAGTAAAAAGTCGCGAAACACTGCGTTTTTCCATTGATTTGTGGCACCAGAGGGTCGAAAAGTAGGTTCGCTAAAGTGGCGCGTGCGGAGGCATCTGGGCAGATGAGAGATGAAAAATTGCACGCTGCTGTGGCGCGAAGCACATTTCGAAGTGAAAACGTACGACAGAAACCAACGCCGGAACACTTTTTGAAAGTTGTGATGTGGAAAAGTCCACGCCGTTGTCGCGCGAAGCGCATGTGAAAAACAAAAGTGTAAAAAAACTCACATTCTCAGACTACTTTTGGAAGTTGCGATGATGAAAAAGTGCACGCCGTTGTGGCGCAAAGCACATTTCGAAGTCAAAATCAACAAAACACATTAGCTTCGGAGCACTTTTGGAAGTTGAGATGCGCAAAAAGTGCACGCCGCTGTGGTGCGAAGCACATTTCGAAGTGAAAATGCTCAAAGCACATGTTCGCGCCACTTTTGGACATTGAAGCGTCGTTTTGTGTGGCAGGCGCAAAGGATTCTGCACCATGCTAAAAGTGAGCAAAACGGGAGTTTCCGTCAGACAATTGAAGAAGATCTGCAAAGATGCATTTTGCGTGGCAGGCGCAGTACAAGAGACATGTTCATCAGAGATGTTAGGAGGTCCGGGCGCCGATTTCCTGAGAGGGGTTGCATTTTGGAGCATCAGATCTTCAGGTTTGCTGAGATGATTTTGTGTGACAGGTGCAGCACTTCGTATGACCTGGCCTCACTTTGTCGTGGCAGGTGCAATACTTTAGAGACAAGGAGTGGAAAAATCGCAAAACGAATTGGCACTTGCATTCAACTTTCCATTATTGAAGGAAGTCTCGCAGAATTGCTTCGTTTTTGATGTTGTCAACTTCGAAGATTGAGGAAGTCTCGCAGAATTCCTTTGTTTTTGGCGTTGTCAAGTTCAAAAATTGAGGAAGTCTCACAGTATTGCTGCGTTTTTGATGTTGTCAAGTTCAAAAATGAAGTCTCGCGGAATAGCTTCGTTTTCAAGCTTGCAGATAGACAGGTAGATAGATACAACATAGATAGAAAGGAAGATGGCTAGATAGACAGACAGGCAGATCGAGAGATAAACAGATAGACTCAGACAGATAAATAGACAAATAGATAAACATATATATAGATAGACAGATCGGCAGGCAACCGAAACTACACTACACCACAACTACAACTACAACCACAACTACACAACAAACGCACCTCAACCACACCTCAACCACCACAACTACAGGTACAACAACTTCAACTATACGTCAACTACAACTACAATTACCATTACAGTCCATTACGCAACTTTACAACGACAACTACGACTACAACTACGGTTACAACTACAACTACAGCAACTGCAACTGCTACTACAACTTCAACTTCAACTACACCACAACTACACTACAGCTACAACTACACTACAACTACAATGCTACAACTACCACTACACTAGACTACACTAGGTTGCAACTACAACTACACGACACTACAGCTACAACTACAGCTTCAACCTCCGCCACACTACAACTACGACTACCACTACCAGTCACCTACACGACAACTACAGCTGCAACTACAACTACAGCTTCAACTACATTACAACAGCAGTTACCACCACACTACAACTACAACTACAACAACAACAACAACAACTGCACTACAACTTCAGCTACAACTACCACAATTACTACAATTACTACAATTATATACTACGACTACAACAACAATTTCAACTACACTTTAACTACACTCACTACAACTATAACTACAACTACAACTACAACATTACAACTTCAACAACATCAACTACACTACAACTGCAACTACACTACAACTACAACTACGATTACATTGCACTTCGCTACACCGCACTACATCCTGCAGTTGTGGGTGAGGTGACCACTGCAACCACTCCAAAACTCACAACCACCTTTCGGTCCATCAGTCGATTCGCTCTGCCATCCATGCATCACAACAACTCACCTCTCCTATAGTTTCCTATCTTTGAAATTTCCGCCACCGCCTTGTGAGGCACTACTGGTACTTTACTGCATCATGAAACAAATAAATCATGATATCACTCATGTCCGCATCAACCACACAGCATCACTGTAGTCTGAATTGGCTGTGTCTGAAAATGGAATGTATGCCTCCAGACTCAGAATGGCCATGCTAATTCTAAACACATAATAGAAGTATATATAATATAATATAATCTCTGGAATGTAATCTATATATATATAGTGTGTATATACAAAACAATTTGATGATTGACCATGAATTTGGGGTGTTCGCAACATTTCAGACCCCAAAAAAAGCAACTTACATAACCTTAGATCTATACATAACCTTATCTCTGTTGGTAAAGTTTCTCTCCCCATGATATTCCCATTAAATGGTTGGTTAACCCATGATATCGTCCAGCTTCCACAGCTTTCACCACTTGCTCCACATCATCGCTCGACATCTCACCACCTCAACTGCGCAAAAAGATTTGGACTACTGGCCTGAAGGAAGCCAGACACTCATAGAAACTGTATGCCTTATCAGTCTATCCACGTTTATCATCAGTTTGTTCCCCTTTCCCCATCAAACTGGCCATTTGAGTATTCCCCATTTAGAGTAAGAAACCCATTTCGAAAACTGTCTTTGTCTACCCCTCCAGATATCAGATACATTGCTGGGATGCGACAGTTCCTCGATTCCCTGGATTCACGATGATGTTCTTTAGCGAAGCAACACCATCGTCAGAGAATCAATCAGTAGATGAGTCATGAGTCAAGAAACCATGCCCTGTCATGTTGATTCCATATGTATATCTCTCTCTCTCTCATTGAAGTTTCTGTTGCTGTACACGCAGTGCACCCCCAAAAGCTACGATGCACCACCAGCACCACCGAGTCACAGAGCTTGGTCAAGCAATCCGTAAACTCCTCACGGGAGACCAGGCCGTCGTCATTCCGATCCCACTCAGAGAAGAGCCATTTCACTTGCTCTTTGACCTCAGCGACGTGGAAAAAAACACCATTTTTTGATGAAAACCCAAAGGGAAACTACAAGACATGTGGAAAACTCCAATGGTTTCGGACAATGATCCGCAAATGACGCGTTTTCCACATCTATGCTAGTATTTACACGAGGGTAAATCATTGTAAATCATCTACTTGCTAAGTCTATAAAATGGGCCATGTTTCATGGATTTCCATAGCTATGTTAAATTCCCAGAGGGTAGCAGCAAACAAAACTTTTCAAAACAAGTGGTCCGCTTTCTGACGCCGTGTGGAACCCACCTCAGAAGCTCGAGGAATCATTCAACCTTATTTAACACCTTTGGACCCACCCAGCTACCACCATCTTACGGAGAAAGAAACACCATATTGATCATGCCATCTGAACGCAGTGCCTGAGTTACCACAAACCTCAACTAACATAGCTACGGAAGAAAATCACCATATATCACCATCATTAGTAGCGTAGATCAACTATAAATATGATCAATTTTCCACATCTATGTTATAGTTTTTGTCACAGTTTACCCAGAGTGTTACCCCCAAAACGCATTTCCCTCGCCATGTCCGCCACGCCACCGGCGTTTCGATGACGGCCGTTGACTCCGCCACCGTTCCGGTTGCGGCGGCCTCCGGCGGCGCCGTTGTCGCGCCCGCGCCGGCGTGGCGCTGCACAGTCTCTTCGATGATGCGGCGGAGCTGATGGCGCTCCACCATGGAGGTGTTCCTCAGATCAATGGATTTATGGTTGGATTTCTGGTGGATTTAAGATGATTGAAGTAAGAAGAACATATATATATATATATGGAAAACTGTGGGGTTTGACGCATTTTAGCATCAAACATTGGGACTTAGTGATGGTGAATGGATTGGTTTAAGGGAAAATCTACAGGAAACAGAAGGAAATCAGGGTTTTGCCATCTGATTTCCTCTCAAATACAAGGGTTTCCTGCAGAGAATCTCAATGGAGCGATGGCCGCCCAAGGATTCTGGTGAGTCTGGTGGTAGTTCTTCCCCGCCACAACAGAAATCCGCCAGGTCTTGAATACGCAAGGGGGTCCATTGCAGGGATGCCAAAAATGTTCTCTGGTAATCAAACATAATCAAACAAGGGCTGCGTAGCTGGACGAAGCACCCGCCAGCTTTTCTTCCAAACCGCGGCCGTTGTTCAGAAAGCCCCAGCTTCCCAATACATAAAATCTCCATGGCTAGTTACCAGCTTCTTCGGGGATTTCCCGGCTAGCCATGCTTGATTTACCATGTCCCCAGCCAAGTGTCAAATCATGGGCATCCTTCACCTCCTCAGTTTGAACCATCGTCTTGTCCTCGGTATGTGGGGCAGTGCATGTGGCATGGTTTGGCATGGTTTGGGTGTGCCAACCTTGCAAGCCCATGGAGGCACCATCAAGCCCATGGGTACAGTAAAATCAATGTAAATCATGGTAAACTAACATAGCTGTCAAAAAATCACAATTTTGAATCAGTAATTCATTGTAAATCACCAATAAGTTGGCTATAGCCTATAGCTTTGTTAGCTTACTGGAGGGTAGACAACCCGATTATTCCCAGCTCATCTCTAATATCGTTACCTTCAAGCTTTGTAATGGACAGTGCGTGACATTCATTTGAATTCAGCTTGAGTCAGCTTGAGGTAAACAAATATAATAAATGCATGTTGCACATGCCAAAGGAATCTGGCAAGTCACAAGTTGGTCGCTTTTTTCACCATGCATCACTTGCTTGAAGCTTTTACAAAAGTGTGTAACATAGCACTCCATGTGCTCTGATGGCACTGGTTACATGAAGCCATCCAGTAGCCCATCCGGATCTACGAATGTACCACGCATGTAACATGATATGACTCTCTTCTATTGGAATCCCAAGTCAGTTCCTTTTTTAGGTCTGGTGGTGTGATGTCTTCTGCAGAGTGCGCCACCTGACGCCCAGACATGCCCAGACTCCAGAGAACATCGCACGGCTCTGCGTTGATGTTCAGCTCCCTGACGGTGGAATGAAGCCACGAAAAAATCTTGAAAACATCCACCTTGGAGAATAACTTGCAGCAATAAATAGCCAAAGAGGGCCAGAATGGACCAGATGAAGCTGGTCTTTTGGATGATCATTGATCTGCAAGAGGCAGCTATCCAGCTACACAAGGACTGAGCAGGCCTATTTCCTGCTGAATTTCTGGCTCCTGCCAAGTTGCAGCATCATCACTGGGAACCACCAATGTCACCGCACGGCCAGTCCTGGTGAGCCAAGTTTCCCGTGACAATTTCAGTGAACTTGGGCCCCTTGGGCTTGTCAAGAAGCAAGGTGAAGCAAGTCTCAGCAGTGGTTCTGGAATTTTCTTGATCACATGGGCAAATAATGGCAAACATCTGTTGTCGGGTGCGCATGTAGAACACGCAACAGCCTCAACAGCCGGCCCAACAGCCGTTGCCCCTTGCGCCCATCCCCCCTGTCATGTCGGAGACCGGTGCACAGCCGTTGCCCCCAGCCAGAAGAAGAAGGGGCCCAGAATAGGTGCCAGTCGTGGCCAAAGTTACCGCCTTCGCTGAAGCTGCGAAACTCAAAATAATATGGTGACATCACAAGCTACATCAAAGAAGCCATGTTGGTCAAAGTGATTGGACTGGGCATGATTGAGATGTAATGTAATTAATTATTGAGATTCGAGTTAAACAATGTCACACCGGCCCCTTTCCGACAATTTTCAGGATGTTTTCCAGAGACCAGCTGCTTCAGAGTTTGACCACGGTTCAAGGCTCCAACTGATCCCCAAGCTTCAGCCCTCACCTTCCCCACTCCGGCCGAGTGAGCAACCACAATATCCTGCGCACAGTATCACCGACAAATGAATCACAAAGTTTCCAAAAAATGGGAGGTGATGGCGGATGGCAACCCGACCTCATCAGTTATTTCAAATCACCCACTATGATCAGCAAATATGAGCTGCAGAATTGGTGGCTGGTGGCTTCATTGCTTCATCTTAGTATCCTTAGCCAGCTGTAGCAAGCCCCAAAAAAGGTAATACATCTGGTTTGTCATCCTTCTATCTGTTTCAGTCGGTGGCCATCGCCACAAAATTCCTTCCCCCACCCCAACATACCCTCTGGTAAACTAACATATAGCTATACATAGCTATTGAAAATGGCCCAGTCGAAATAGTTGATTTACCCGTAAACAAAATGTGTTTTTCCATCGTTTTTTGTACGTTTACCAGAGGGTAGCCCAACCCCATTGCAGGTCCGGCTTGAAGCTTCGACATTCCTTGGCCAGCGCATCGCGTGTGGCCGCGTAGCTGGCATGTTTCACCTGAGCAAATTTGGACTCATTGGACCTTGACAAAGGTGCCGGGGAAGCACGGTGAATGTATCGGCCACTTATACATCTTATACATATAAAGAAGCGGATCCGTATATGTTGAATCCGTATATGTAATTTATGTAATTAATTATACACATAGACAAATATAGACATATCAGCATCCCTCTTTGTATGCTATTTCATCCTCCTAGTTACCTAGTTCTACTTGCCAATTACATTTTATGATTACCTCTGCGCCATGGTGTGCTGCCAAGACACCGAGGGGATGCACAAATGTCGGAAGTGCTGGCGCAAATATGTCGGCTTTGCACCTGGCCAGATGGCAGGTTGTAACCATGGTGACAGCCGTCATAGTCATAACCCCAACTGCACCCCCCAAGTACGACTACCTCAAGTGCCCCAAACAGGGCCTGTGGTGTTGCTTCCCAACCTCAAGAAAAGTCAGGGGCGGACAATTCAAGATTGATCCTCATTTATATATACTGTACATATTATATATATATATATATTATATTAATATTGCTTCTGTAGAGGTGTATCGTCCCATGATTACTACTCTACTGAAGGATTTCCTCTGAATGGGCCATTCAGTTTGCCTGTCTGACAGTGCTCACCCACCCCACTAGTTTGGAAGCTGGAGGAAACTGGTCACCCATGTTTCAACCCTAAGGACTATACGCCAACAGTATTCAACAATGTTCGCATCGGCCAACGTCGTGTATAAAAGGGAGGTTAGTGCCAAATGTGCCAAGCAAGGAGCCCACAAATGTAGAAAACACCTCAGAGTCAAAATGAATCCAGGAATCCACCAGTGCTGACAGAAATTTCTGACTGTGTCGACTAGTCTACTAGGCTCCAACCTATTCAAAAGCTCTTCGCTACACCATGGGCGTTGGAGAAATCCTGCTTCAAACGGATGAGACTGCCTGAGCAAATAGATCAACCGCTTTTGGAACTATGCAGTCGCATTGCAAAATCTGAAACAATCAAAAGATGCATTTTGCACTGACACGGCTGACTATCAATGCAGCAAAATCGGTATATATGTACATATACATATATATATATATATCTACATATATACATATGCACAGATATATGTATACACATGTGTATGTACATATATATATATATATACATGCACAAATATAGAGATATACATGCAAATGAACAAAAATAAATATTATGTATAATTGTGAATATAGATGTGCATTACAGCAGCAAGATCAATGCAGCACAATGCATGGTGGCATAGTGGTGCATTGTTCCCCCATGGCTTACCTTGCCCAGTACGCCAGTACCTAGCGTACCTAGCTACGTCTATGAGATTTTGAACCTTGGTATCATCCCCATCTCAAGCCCGCGGCACCAATGGGCAAACTTATGGCCATGTCTAGTATCAAACCATTAGTAAGCCATCCATTGTGGGGGAGCTAATTGGGGATACAGAATTTTGATCCCATATCCATATGTGCTTGCAACAACCCCTTCTGTACTTGTTGGGGGTCCTTGATCAGAAGCCCGGAGTCCCGCTAGTGCTGCGAGCGTCGAAGGTCGGATTGGTCGTCTGCCATGCGAAGGAAGGCCCAGCAGAAATCACTCTGCCGTGGGCATCTGCAGGCGTCTTACCCCCTGATTACCAAGCTTCAGACATTTTGGACTTCTTGGTGAAGCTTCGGGCAATTTATGAAACAAGATCCCAGAACAGGCCTGAATTATCTTCAGTTCTAGGGCTTCCAAGTGAAGAAAGTGTCCTCAATCCCTAAAAATTGCATACGATTCGTGCCTGCCTACAATAGTTTGAGCTGTAAACTAGGCGGCAAGTTCATGTACGGTGACATACCATGGATTTCAGCTTCGCAAAAGCTGCGAAGCCACATCGAACTTGCGATGTGTCGGCAAGTCAAGTGCTTGAGTAGCTGCGGGATGTAGGATCCAGCAGGCTAGATACACACCTCCCGCGGTTCCAACGTTTCCACACTCCAACCCACAAAGCCACCTCTGCGCATTCAGCTTTCTACTGGCTGCTTCCAGGAGTTTGGATGTACACCTCATGGCCGGATGCTGGAGCTGTGCCAGCTGGGCTGAAACAAAAAGTGCCTGGGCTGCCGGACTGGGCATCGACCTTCAGCCCTGGCAGGCCGAAACTCCAGGAGTGTTCGCTGGCCCCCCACCTTGGCCAAATCTGAGAGATATAAAAATGTGCTAAAAATGGAGAGAAATGACAGAAACGATAGGGCAATACGTGCTTGCTGATTCATGAAAACAGCTGCTCATACTGGATTGGTTTGTGGGAATAAACTTGCAAATGTCTCACGGAAATTGAAGGTGACATAGAACCAAGTCCACAAGAGTGCAGGTAGCTTCATTCTCAGTGTGAGCCATACTGCAATCGCTTAAAGCATCAGATTCGGCAGCCTCAATTTGTCTTGACTTGTCGCTTTCCTCGTGCACTTGAAAGGCTCCCGAAATAGTGAGTGCATATGATGTGAGTGCCCCATCACCACCGACAAATGAGGGTTGCTGGTCTGACGGGTCAGCCACAGTCAGCACATTCCATGGTCTGCAACATTTGAGATGCCCACTTTGGCATCTCTGCACACACCTGGCCGAACTCAGCCATTCTCCACAGGCGGTGCATACCCGTCTATACGAATGGTGAATCGGTCATATTAAATGCATGGAATGGCCTGGAGCATCAGAACAACCATCGAAAGGGTGAGGCCAGGCCTGTGGATTCAGTTCCAGCATGCGCAGGACCTGGGTCTCTCTCAAAGACCAAACTCTGCAGGAAACCAATGGGGTTTTGCCCCCCAAAGGGCATATCTATTTATATATGTGTACATATATATATATATATAGAGTATATAGAGTATATATAATGTATTATAATGTATATATAATGTATTATAATGTATATATAATGTATTATAATGTATATATAGAATATATTATATATATATACTCAACAAGGGTCAGCGAACCGCTGGGTTTTCTCGAACAAAAAGCCTCAACACGTCAGATGAATTGATCCATGTGACGGACTCCCCCCAAATTGAAGTCCAATTTGCACCGTGTTCTCACAGTGCCGTCAAAAGATCGGCCATGAAAATTTTGGCCTTCGAGGCTCAAGGCTTAATTGTCCTTGTTGTGCTTTGCCTTTTCATATTGATAAATTTTGGCCAATGTCGCTTTAGACAGGCCTTTTCCACGGTTTTCGTGCTGAAACTTGTTCCATGGGTTGGAAAGATCTTTCTCCTTTGGAGATCTCTGCACCTCGCTCACTGATGCTGAGCCCGACGCCGTAGACGGAGATGTCGCGGCACCAAACCCCGCAGCTGAAGATGCTCCACGCTGCTCAGTGATCGAAGATCCACCACGCTGCTTAAAGCCCGACTGTGTTGAGGTAGATCGCGATGTTATCTGCGATCCCGCTGCCAAACACTCACCATGCGAGCCCGAGCTTGATGTCATATCCATGGAGATAGGGCCAGAGTTCCCTCGCCCAGCACTGCTCTGCATGCCCGAACTTGATGTCATACATCCCGACGTTGCCGCTCGCTCAGCATGCAAGCCCGAACGTGAAGACATACATTCAGACGAAGAAGCTCGTCCGACACGCAAGCCCGAACGTGAAGACACCCTCAATGAGGTAGGCTCGCCTTCATCTTCTGACATCAGTGCTTCCTCCTCTGAGCTGGCCAAAACGTCTTGTTTTGTAATTGGTTTTCCAAAATTGCATTGACTGCTCGCTTCATTTGATTGTTGCATCCTTCTCAGACAGCACCTCACAGCTCCAAAGACAAGCTGACCTGCATAGATCGCTCCCAAAACCATGGGCAAGATGCCAACTGTCCAGATCCGATTAAAGACCTCATCATCCTCGGCCTTGTGAGCTTCTGCTGTCGAAATCAGCACCCCACCAACCATCATAGCACGCATTGCCGCACCATGCTGCTCTCCACCAGCAGTGGGCTGGTCTTCACGGGCACGTTGATGCTGTCTTCTCGTTCTTCGCAGACCAAGATCATCCACAAACTGCGTAAAAGCTTGACCTTGAAGAGGTTTGGTGCACCCATCGGCGACAAGCTCAGTGCCCTTGAGGTGCAACAACTTCCAACCTCCACCACGGCTGCGATTCGCCTCATCCAAAGCTTCCTTCAGCACACTGGCACGGATTCGAAGATGCCGCGTGCGCCACGATGCTGTAGTGACACCGTGGGCCAAGTTGATTGCTGCGGCATTGTCACCATAGATGACCTTTTCAAAATCCCATTGTTGCCAGATGGAAGCCAAAAGTGCTTCGGTCGCCCTTCCCACCACCAAGGACTCACAATATGCTATGAGCTCCGCCTCCGCAGTTGAGTGCGCCACAAAAGGTTGAACCCCACACTGCCATGCTATGAGAACTCCAGCATAGTACACCACCAAGCCTTGGATGCTCCTGTGGTCGGCTCCCGCAGCATATGAGATGTCCGAAAAGACTTCCAGCATCTTCTGATGCCGTCGCTTTCAGTTGATCTCGACGGCCCCAATCACCTCCAGGAATCGTTTGTGGATAGTGCATCCCACCAGGATTTCCATAAAGGTACTTGAGCAAGATGTACCCAATCTCCACCGCCTTTTTGGATTCTTCGTTGTCAGCCTGCTCATTGCAGAAACTCCAAAGGTCAAATCTGGTCTGGTTCTGGTTGAAAGCCATAGGAGCGCACCAGTCATCATTTGGGCAGTGCGAACATCGTTCGGGTCAATCTCCCCCACAAACTGCTCATCCTCCTCCGTGACCTTGAACGCAGGGTACTGCAATGATTCCTTGATGTCCCATCTTGTCATCAGCTCTTGTTCATACATGCCTTGGGACACATAGAAACCATCTCCAGCGGCACCCATGCTGATCTCGAAGCCGCAGTAGCGCAAGGGTTTGTCAGATGCCCATTCCACCTCCGACAGCGCCCATGTGTTCTGGATTGCTTCCATAGCCAGCTTCACTGTTTGTGGTTCGCCAGACACCAGGATGTCATCAACGTACACTGACATCAAACCTGCCCAGTTTTCAGTGCCCGTCTCCTTGTTGACCTCCACCAGGCGCCACAAGTTCTCATCCTTGGAGTGGACAAAACGTCCTTCCAGAACCACATTTCCAATCTTCCGATGCCAGCGCAAAGTGGGGACCACCTCATCACGATGGATACCCCAGTCCCTTGGCGAAGAGACCAACCCGTAGAGGGCTTTTTCAATGATCCACACATCTTCTGCATCAGCCAACCCAAGGTGTTTGAAGATGGTTGGTACCTCCATGGCTGTGATCTTGGTGGTATCACGTTTTGGAGCGTTCAAAAACGCTACCCTGATGTCGCTGCCTGCAAGGCACCATCCCCGCAAAGCCGCGGTTCTGATCAAGGCCCTGACTTGGCAACCGTCAGCACCTCCGGCGTATCGATCTCCTGTGCCAACTTCTTGATAGTTCCCGCAGACTACCGCACGAGATCTGTAAGCGCCGGTGTTGGCCTTTCGAGTGTGGACCATTTTGGCTGGGAGAAGCTCAATTGGGAGTTGTTTTTCTTGGGCAAGCTGTCGCAGTTGAGACTTCGTCACCTGCTTCACCGCCTGCTTTTGGTTCACCAGCTGCTCATACTCAGCTCTCACTGATGGCTCCCAATTTTTGATATTCTCCCAGACCTCTTTGTTGGAGACAGTTCTGGTTACCAAAAATTCGTTTTCATTCACCAGAGCTTCCTTTTTCCCTCTATTGATCATGATCAGCTCTTCTTCCACCTCCGCCTTTTGCACCAGCATCTCCTTCAAAACTGGCATGCACCACGCCTGTTCATCAGCCGTGCCATCAATGTGGACCATCTCATCCATCACCAACATGTGCAAGTTGCGTTGCACCTTTTGTAGAAAACTTTCATATTCCTGTGAGGCTGTCAGGCATGAGCCACCGCACTGACTATTAGGCGCCTCCTCCTCTTCCCCACCTCCAGATCCGTCCAAAGATGAGTCAGGTGATGGAGTTGTTTCCAAAGTCCAGCTATCATCACTGTCTCGTTCCCACGATGGTGCATTCACACGGCCAAGAGGTTCAAAAGGATCATCCTCCCCCTCGATTGGTGCTCGCATCAATCGATGCAGCATGGCGGGTTTGGTTTTTCCCCGCAGGCGTCTTGCTGGCTGAAGATCCATGCCAGCAGGTCGAGAAACTTCATCTCGTTCAGGCAAGTAGATGGCATTGTCAGCCCCAATTGGTCGCGGAGCAGCACCTTCATGAACTTGTTGTTCTCCAAGAACTGCCGTCTCCGTCGCCTCAAAGTCAGGGGTGATGACATCGGCCGTGAAGAAGTATTTGCCTGTGTCGATGGACTGCACAAAATAGTTTGTGGAAGTCAACGTACTACAGGCATCTGGTCCAAGCACCAGAACTGGCTGTCGGGTCTCGCCCCACTCCTCATGGTTATCCTGCCACCATTTTCGCAGAGCAAATGCCTGAGTTCCAAACTTCAGCAGGTCACCGACAGGGTAGCCACAAGAGCGCAGCTGTGCACGGAGACGACGTTCTCCAACATGTCTTGCCACAAGCGGCCACAAGTTGATGTTGAACCTGCCAGCAGAGATCACAGTGCGAATTGCTCGCTTGGTGACACCAAGTTCTGCTTCACAGCGCCCATTGGCTTTGTAGTCATCCCCTGCTGTCTTTGTGAGGACAATGTCTCTGCTTTGTGCCCATCGTCGCAAAGGAGCTGCAAGAAATTCTCTGGCCCTGTCAGAGTGCAACCGCATCACTGGAAGACCAAGTTGTCGCAGTCGGCTGTAGATCTTGGCAATGGCCGGCAGGACATGCTGGGAGTTGCGACTTTCGATGGTCTCCACAAAGGTGATGTTCCTCACGGTCACGTTCATGGACTCCTCCACAAGCTTCTGCCAGGCCAGCAAGCAGCCATGTGCCGTTTTCTCGGCCTTTCGGTCCTCATCTTCACTTTGACCTTCCACTTCCACATTGTCCTCCTCTTGCTCTTGCAGTAGATCTTGCCCTTCTTCAGCTCCATCTTCCGCTTCGAGCTCATCCAAACCAGGAAGCGGTTGATCTTGAGGTTCAACACCATCCGGAGAAGCCAGTGGCACACCATCCTTGGTGATGGGGAAAGTGTAGACCCCCACAAGCAAGTACTTGCACTGCTTCTGTTCCTGGTTGATACCCGGCGTGAATTTGCCGCTCAAGTCCACCGACAAAGTGAACGCTTCCGGATGTTGAACTCGCCGATGTGGGCGTGCACGTGCCTGTGCTCTGACACAGTGCTGGCAATCTCTGCGAGAGGGCATATGGTCGTGGAGGTAGTGCGTTTTCCATGACTCGAGAGCTGCAGAGCCCAGGGTCCTGACGGCTGGTTGTTGAGGTAGATCAGGATGCCTGTCAAGCCACTGAACCCGCTGGCTCACGGCCAATGAAATCGCATTCTTCAGCCCAAGTGCCCATTGGGACCATGTTCTTGAAACTTCACATCTTTGATCAACAGTCATGGCTCGAAATTGAGCTCCAGCCTCTGCCTCATTGTTGGGGGCACCACGCACTCCATCAAGGTGCCGAACTTCTTGTACATTTGTGGCCAAACATGTAGGCTTCCTTTTTGGGTGCCCCAACGGATGTTGATCAAAATGGTACTGCACCAAGTTGTACTTCTCCGCCAAGGCCTTCCATTCTGCAGTGCGAAAAACTGAGAAATACCCATGTTGTTGTACATCCTCTTCTGAGCGATATCGCTTTGGGTCTTCAGGTTGCTCCATGAAGAACTGTGTCGGAGGTTCTGTTTCCTCACGCATCTCCTCGGCGACCATGAACAAAGACCAAAAACGAAACATCAGGACTGAGTCGGCAATCACCAGTTCCGCATCTGCAGGACCCAAAGTTGGGAGGCCATAAGGGTGTTCTTCTGTTCTCAGCACCCCAGGGCCACCATCTTGTTGATACCTCAAAGCTGACACCGTTCTGCAAGGTGGACCACCCAAAATTGCCCTGACTCGCCCACTAGCACAAAGTGTGAGCAGGTAGCCAAACACGTTCCGATCATGGAGATTGGCCGGCGTAGAGCATGTGGTATCAATGCAGAGCACCTCCGTGTTGGCATTGGCGCATCTTTGGTCCCAGTAGTTGTGATCCGGGCCTGAGAACAAATGGAGGATCACATGCTTGGCTTGGCGTAGTCGTCGGCGTTTGTGCCGGTTCCATGGCAAGTTGGACTCAAAGTTCTCTGTCTTGACCATTTCCAGATGCGGTGCTATTCTCATCATGACTTCATCAGGAAGATGTGGAAAGAGCTGCCGCAACTTGTAGGTCAAAGCCAGCTCCAGGTCCAAGCGCTGCCGATCTACTTGAGTGTCATCAGCCAGCAAAGATCTCACCATCGCCAGCTTTCGTTGTTGATGCACCTGATACCACTCAAGCCACTCCAAGATCCTCTGGCCATCCGCAAGGGATATCATAGGGCAGCCTTGAACAACTCGAACCTCAAACTCCCTGCCCTCATCATCACGCAATTGACATCGGTCACCAGACCACTGCAGTGTGAAGTCCAATGCTGTGAGACCACCCATAGGAACAATCCTTGAAGTTGTTTGTGTAGGATGTCCCAACAGCACCTTGGTGCCTTTCTTGAGGCGAAAAGCTTCCGTCTCACCATTGGCAAGTTGCACCACGGTTCTTTCAGCATTGGTCCATTCTTGTAGATCGTGGGCCGGACGTAGAGCATGCGTGGCACCTGAGTCGATGAGCACCCAGTTGTTCTCAGCTTGTTCCAGTCCTGCCAGCTGCATGACGTTGATCTTGGGCTGAACTCGCAATGACTTCAGAAGTTGCGTTGCCTCTTGTAGCAACTCATCAGCCTTCGTTCCTTTTGGATCACTTCCTGTTCCTCCATCAGTTGACTCTTTTGTGATCTCCTCCGCACCATCACCAGTTTTCACCTCCGCCGGAGACGTCGTTGTGGAAGATGTTGACCCAACCTCCTTGCCCTTCAGCACTTTTGTAGCCGCAGCTCCAGCTTTTCCACCAGGTGTTGAGGAACTTGGCGTTGTAGAGGCGTCATTTCCACTCCCCCCACGTCCATAGCCATTTCCTCCCCCTGATCCGGCAGGATCACTCGGCTTTTTGCCAGTAGTGCGGGCTTTGCACTCATGCTTTCGGTGATCTTTTCCACCACATAGCCAGCACCGCTGCGCCTTGTCATCAACGCCATCCCAAGAGTGCAGCCACTTGCATGATTTGCCCGCCTTGCAGCCCGACTCTGAGATGAAGTATTTGCACGGCTTGTCTGCCGTAGGGCTCGTCTTGAGCTTGCTGTCACTTGTAGTAGGCCTTGGAGGTGTTTTAGGGTCCGTCTGCATCTGCTTCAGCTTCAGAGGCGTCTGTGGTGCCGACAAAGTCAAAGAGTTTGTCTGAAGAAGGACCAGGGTCTCAGCTTCGGCCAACAGGCATTGGCTGTAAGACCACAAGGCTTGCTGTGTCGGCATCTCATCCAGGCCCAACTGCATACGGCTTTGCGCAAGGCGAAATGCAGCTTGTGGATCCAGCGCTCCAAGTTGTTGAATTGGTCCATCCAGTGCTTTCAAGAGCAGAACCCCATCTGGTAGCGTGGCATTGACCTCTTGTGCCCTCCCAAAGTGCCGTCTCCAATTCCTCAAAGCCGTTGCAAGCTCCTTGACATTGGGGGTCTTGGGAATGTTGGTGAGTTGCTGAAGCAAAATCTGCTTCTCCCCAGCCACACCCGGTTGGAATCGGATCAGCAGCTTGTAGAGGATTGCAGTTGAAGACAAAGCTCGATCCGTGACCAGTGATTGCTGCTCAGCTTCTGGTATGGCCTTCAAGAGCATCTGAATGCCACGTTGTTCAGTACGTTGAAACTGATGCTCCTTTAGTTCTTCTGGCAACCTTGGAGCTATTTGAATTCTTTGAAGTGGAGTACTCACCTTCCATTCTTCATAAAATCCACGGGCTTCACGCATAGTTGTTTCCCACCACCAGCCCGCTGCTCCTGAGATGTCTTTCATGATCGGAGCAATCAGATGCAACCAGTCTCCAAACTGGAGAGGGCTGGAATCAGCCGGTAGATCAGGCAGCTCACCTTTTGTGTTCATGGTGGTGCCCATGTTCTCAGGCCAGGGTGTAAATGGTCGACCCTGCCTTCCATCTCCAAATCCACCTCCCCCCACACCATGACCCGGAAGGTGGCAGGATTCTTGAGGACCTTTATGATGTAGTCCCATGTCAGCTCCATCCATCGAAGCCCGACCACGACCATGAAGTCCTCCATGCTCTGAAGAGGCCCGATCGCGTCCACATAGTTCACCAAGAACCTGCTGAGCCCGAGCTTGTCCACGCAGATCACCGTGCAGGTTCGAAGCCCGAACTGGTCCATATAGATCTCCGTGCAAGTTCGGAGTCCGAGCTTGTTCACGGGTTTCTCCAAGATCATGCAACCGCTGAGCCCGAGCTTGGTCTGGATGTTCTCCAAGCTCATGCAACCGCTGAGCCCGAGCTTGGTCAAGATGTTCTCCAAGCGCCTGCAACTGCGATGCCCGAACTCCATCATGAGGTTCAGAAAGCATTGCACAGGCCCGAGCTTGAAGACCATGATCGCCACACTCACCAAGCGCAGCCCGATCCGGAAGAGGAGCTACACCGCTTCCTCCACGCAAGTTCCCACCTTCTCGTTCATGCGCCATGCAAGCGGCCACAGCAGGTGGAATCCGACCAACAGTGGGAAACCCAGACTGAAAATTCCCATTCCAATAGTCAGATTGTTGCAACACTTGGGGAACCGAAACACGATCCAGTGCTAACTTCAAAGAATGAATTTCCTTCTCCATCCAAAATTGTTTCGCTTCACTGGCAGTGAGAACACCTTCACGTTCATCCAAAGGTTTCCATGCAGTGTTACCACCCTTCATCTTTGGCTTGGATTCACATGTGTCATAAATGTCCAAACCATGAATTTCGCTCACAAAACTTGATTGATGCCCCTCCCCAAACTTCAAAGCTTCTTCCAAACCAGGGATTGGTGGCACCGGAGGCACTGGTTGATCACATTCTACCGGAGGTGGCCCATCTGGTACCCTAGTACCATTTGGGGTATACTTTGCAGGGTCACGCCTCCCACACTCAGGGCTAACTGCCGCTTCACGCATCCTTGCCCTTGGAGTACGGCTTCCATGTCTACTTCCATGTCTAGCATGTCGTTCCCTCACAACGGAACTACCCACACCATTTGATTTCTCATTGGACATCCCTCCAACAGCAGACCATGGTGAAGTTTCGCCTCCAACACTAGCAAGGCCAGTAGATTTCTCCAGTTTGCCCTTGAGCTCTTCTACTTGCTGTAACAGCATCGAATTCTGATCCCTCAAGAAGTTGACAAGTTCAGCTTCTAACATCTTTTGAAGATCATCTGATTTTGAACCCGAACCCTGATCTGGATCTCTAACATGTCCAACAGGCCCCATTGAGCGCTTCCCAGCAACCGTTTCACCAGGCATCTCTCCTTCCGTTCTTGCCGGAGTCCTTGTCACCACTGTAGGACGCTCCAGGGCTATGCTCGGCACACCAGCTGAGATGCCACCCCGTCCCTTCCCAGTAAGGTCCGTGAATGAAGGAGGAACTGCCAAACCAGATGCTACACTTTGAATGGGTTCCCTGCTGTCACTTGTATCCAAAACATTCGGTAAATCACCAGGTCTTGAAGCCGCTAGTCGAAACTCATCTTGGGTCTTTTGCGACCAAAAAGGGTTCA